CTTGGGCAAACAAGAAAACATCAGGGTGATGCAACTAGCTCTGTTCCAAGGAGTAGCAAAGAAGCACCGTGCTGCAATCACTATAGAGATGAAGGCGTCTGACAACCCTGTTCTCCAGAACATCCAGCCAGATCCAACAGTCATCTGCACAGCTTTTAAAAAAAACAGGTTTTATATGGTGTGTGTGTGTGTAGTTTTTGTTCAAATAAGTCCATTCTTGTATGGATGCTTTCTCATAGTGTATTGCTTTGTAGTTTTTCCCTTGTGCCTTTGCAGTGCTTTTTGTATTGAACATTTGCAAATGTAACTTTTTCAGAGGCATCTCCTTAAATTACAGCTATATGCTAGAATTTTTAGTTTGAAATAACTAAAAATTGACTCTTTAGTCTCTAATTTTGCTTTTACTATTTTGCTCAAGCCTTTTTTTTTTTTTTTTTTGATGCCTTTGGTTGTCTAAATTATAGCTCTTTGAGAAGAGCAGAGGCTTTTGGTGTGGTTTAAGAATCTAACATAGGAACATTTAAAAATCCTGACCTGATCTCACACCAATTAAAGCCAGTTATTCACGAATAATTTGGGCAATGACGCCCAAAGCCCTGCTAGTTCACTTTGGACATAATGGAACACATTGATATGCTCCACCCCTTTCTAAAACACAGGCCTGAACTAGAAGATTCTGAAATATTAGAAAAAGTGAGTTGGATTTACAAATCATTGTGTTGGAATTTGTGACTCTGGAATGCTGATCATGCACTTAATTCAAGGATCTGTGGATTCTGTCTACATTTCAAATCTATTTGAGCATTTAGCAGGCTGAATAATCATCACACTGATGTCTTAGGGGCAGAGCTCTGTGTAAGATAAAGAAAACGAACAGTAACATTCTGGGTTTTTGTTCTTCAGTTTACTAAACGTGAACCAGAAGATACTAAGAGTGCAGATTCTGACAGAGATGTGTTTAATGAGAAACCTTCTAAAGAAGAGGTCATGGCAGCCACTCAGGCAGAAGGTCCCAAGAGAGTTTCGGACAGTGCCATTATCCACACAAGCATGGGAGACATTCACACCAAGCTTTTTCCTGTCGAGTATGTCTTTGTTACTCTGTTTCTTCTTTACCTCCCTGTTCCCCAGTATTGGTATCAAAGAGATACATGCCAAGCTAGGAATGGCTCTCTTTCCCCTCTTTTTCTCTGGCCTTGTTTCCTCAGTTTCTTAACAGAGCAGGCTACCCGAGTATGACAAGTAGAAGTAAATTAGAGTAAAAAGTGGTCTAAGCAACAGTGAGCGGGCACTAATTCACAATGTATTTCCTGAGTTGCCCATCATTTGCTTATTTTTTTTTTTCTCTTTACTTTGGATTGAATTATTTCAACTGTATTTGAAGGAGGTCTGCAGGCTGAAAGACAGTTACGTGCCCCTAAAGGTTATGGTGACAACTGGAGGGTGGGTAGAAAAGAGATTAGGGTAGTGCCCTGCTAAACGACTCAGTACAACAGGGTCTCAGTCTCCACTGAAATCTTTAGAGGCTTGCCCCAATACAATACTTACTGTATTAATGTACTTATTGTAGCCTGTATTTTCTATTGCATGATTGTAGGTGCCCCAAAACAGTGGAAAATTTCTGTGTGCACAGCAGAAATGGTTATTACAATGGACACATATTTCACCGTATTATCAAGGTAAATTGTAAAAAGTTAATTTTTTGTTGGTTTATGTAATGTTGCTAGAACTGACCCACAAGTTACACTTTCATTTCCCTTTTGTACAGAGGATTTTTGAAATAGTTGTATAATTCCCTGCAACTTCTGAACAATTTTGTAGTCTGAAGAGCTCTATCACTTAGTAAAGTTGCTTAATAGTTGTCCTGCAACTGACAGCGTAGGAAAAAATCTGAAGCTTGAGGGAAAGATCAGTTTGGTAATCCTCCTTTCATGAGCATTTTACACCTTTCTCATCAGAAAGGACATTCCCTGTAAGGATACTTATTTTTGCAGCAACAGAGTCAAGTTGCTACAATTCAGGTGTTTGCTCAAGATGGAGCTATTCAGGTTTCTGTGACTCACTAGCAGAGATTACTGAGTAATCTCATTTTTGATGACTATCAGATTCCCCTTTAAAGAGATTCTCATGGCTCTGTGCCTTATTTGCTTCTTTTGCACTTGTGTTTTGTTGATGAACATGAAGCAGTTTTGCAGTTGTGGAGCACCTTGTAGAATTTAAATGTCACCACAGTCTTTTGCTCAGTTATTCTAAGGATGATGCGGTAACATACTCAATTTCTGTGCAGGGCTTCATGATTCAGACGGGTGACCCCACAGGGACAGGAATGGGAGGTGAAAGTATTTGGGGAGGAGAATTTGAAGATGAGTTTCATTCAACTTTACGACACGACCGGCCTTATACACTCAGTATGGCTAATGCAGGACCAAATACTAATGGATCTCAGTTTTTTATAACAGTGGTGCCCACGGTAAGTAATATTAAAGCTTAACTGAAGGCCAGACAGGTCAACTGTATATTAAAAATAATTCTAATGATGAAAACTACTGTCCAAATACTTATTTCCAAAATAGCATAAGTGCTGCATGTGGAAATGTAGGCTGCACTGACTCTACTGAAGCACCTGCAAAAGGTGCTTTTGTCAGCCGTGATCATAAGAGGCCTTTTGAAAAGGTGTGGGTCATCAAATTCTAGAGAAGGCTGACACTTCTACAGTTTCATATTTTTGGAATATGTAACAGACTGGTTTAAACTGGAGTAAATCTTGGCTATTGCTAAGATTGTTCCATGGTTGTGGACATGCTGCATCAAATAGAAGCATTGAAACAGCACTTAATCACAGAACTGTTATAATAAATTTCACAGCTTACACAAACTTAAGCTGTGAAATGCTACTGCATTGCTAGAACTTGTCCTCTGTAGTACTTGAAACTCATCCTCTAAAAGATTTCTTACATATTGGTGAAGATGCATAAGCTGCACCCTTTTGTTTGCTTTTAACTGTTAAAAGAGCAGTTTGCACACCATAGATAACTGTGATTTAATAGCCTGCATAGGTAAAAGATACCTAGATACTTTTACTCTAGCTCAGTTTCTTTTTCACTTGTATTGAGTGTATGCCTTTGTTTTAATGACTTTTCTCTTCCCACGCTTCTACAGCCTTGGCTAGACAACAAGCACAGTGTGTTTGGACGGGTGACTAAGGGAATGGAAGTTGTTCAGAGAATCTCAAATGTCAAAGTAAATCCCAAAACCGACAAACCCTATGAGGACATCAGCATCATCAACATCACGGTGAAGTGAGACAGAAGTTGAAGGTTCCAATTTAAGCAAAACAGCAGCACCCAAAAGGACCCAGGGAAAAAAGAAAAAAAATAAGTTTGTGGCTGTAAGAAACCCATGGCATCCACTTCACTACTGTTTAGGTACCTGAAACACCACAAGCCTGTATTTTTAATAATTTTGTACTTTAAAGTAAAGTCAAATGCATGTTTCTTACACAGTCTACTGTTGTTCTTGGATGTTTTCTAAGCAAGATTGAAGATAGGAACCCATACCATGTTCCCTGAGAGTAGTTTTAATCAGTATGTAGCTGGTATCTTAACACCCTTTGTATTTCTTAGGTTTCATGTTTAATCCTTTTCCCATTAATGAAATGTGTGGCAAAGGGTAGTGAGCAGTTAAGAGTTCTGAGTCATATCTTGATGCATCTAATATGAGGTTAAATATGTATGTTAGGGCAAAACACTTAGTCTACCTCTGTCCTTTAGAAAGGGGAGCGTATGTTTGACTTCAGTGCTTATGAGGCTGAAAAAGCAGCCATCAGCCACTGGAGTGCCAGGGGAAAAGCTCTCATATAATCAGTACAAAATATAAAACTATAATTTATATTTTAAAGATTGTTTCCTCATTATGTCGACCCTAGCAGCTTGTTTCAAACTCTTTACCTGAAAATTACTTCGACTAAAATATCAGCTCACTTGAGATCATTATTTTAAACTGACATTGTCAGGTGTTCTGAGACAGGCTTCAAGGAAAGCCCAGCCACCTGAACCTGTGGCTAAATATGTTTCTGGACTATGTTGGATAGCTAAGTCTACTCTAAATACAGTAAGTGTAAGTTTGACCAGTTCCATAGTACAAGACTCCAAAGAATACCGATTTGTGATGACGTGATTTATGAAACCCAGTGTTCCAATGACCTCAGCTCACCAGCTTCACAGGACATGGTAAAGGGACTGTGCAGTCGGCGCCTGCTGGCTCACACTTTCCAGCTGATTGTGCAGGGGTTTCTAGTGCCTGCTGCCAGACTGCACCTATAACTAAAACTCGTGACAGTACCTGGCTGGGGGAAGGAGCCTTAGAGCCATAAATAGGAAAATCAAAGAATAAAAATTAAGCTTACTTTTTTAAAGCAATCATTAACCAGCATAAAAGGAGATACTAATTGATTTAGCAAGATAAAGAATTTGCTTGACAAACAGAAAAAAGGTTGAAAACTGAATGAGCCTGAAGTTCAAGACATCCCATCTTTCTTCAAAGCTGAAGGCAGTGCTAGAGCCTGTTAAACTTGCAAATAAAGTGGACAGAAACACAGTAGTGGTTTTAAAAGGTGTATTTCTTTATACTCAGGTTTTTGTTCACATCAACAGAAAAGTTACTAGCACGTGTTGCTTTCCAACTGCCAAACAAGACTAGCAAAATTGCATTAGTAGGCTTAAATTGTACTATTTTAGGATAATATAATCCAATATGCATTTTTCTTCTTACTGTGTCCATATTTGCAAACTATTATATTAACTCAATCACAATGCTGAAGCTGGAAGAGGGACAGACATTCTTCCTCATTATGTAAACATATATATTTCTCTTAAGGTTATGAAGGCCCAAACCTATGGGTCTCAACTCAGAGCTAGTTATGCCAGGGGTACAATAACAGTCTGATGCCCCATGCAGAACTCGGGCTTGGTGTGGAATGATTGTGTAGTACTTATTTCAGCAATAAGAACAGAAGTAGATCAGATTTTCCCCCTGGGCATAATGAAGGGGGAGGCTGTGTTTACAGCTGAGGAAGTGAAAGGAGCCTTGCCAAACTATTACAGTAGGTAGCGGGAGGTTTTTTTCCCTCATGCCATTTCCTGAAAGAAGATACTAATCAAATTATTTCTGTCAAAAGCTGCAATCATTAAGTTTAAGTGAAATAACAGATAGATACAGTGATAAAAAAAATGTGTTTGAAGTTGAAAATTACTCTTAAATGACTTCTAATCAAAAAAAAAGAAGGATAATATTAAAGTTATCCTTTGAAGATTGCAGATATTTTTATTGAAAAACATTAATTTTTCTGGGCAACTAAACTACAGCAGCTTAGGTGTTTTTACTGAAAGAGTCATTTCTTTCCAAAAATCACTACCTACTATCCACACCTATCCCAACAGATCAAAACAAAACCCTCAAGTACCACTCTGGCTGCAGTAAGTTTGAAGGTAACATAAGTAACACTTCATCACTTGATATGGTGCTATTGTTTCAGCTAGGTTAGACTTATCATTTTTGCACCAAGATGCATTAAAGCAAGCCACATCATCACCGAATGCTGTACTCAGGTTCACATGTAAGTCAAAATACTACAGAAAGTTGTTCAGTCTTTCAAATAATCCATGTAGTTAGTAATGTTTGAGTAAAATCCATTTGTGGTAATATTCCAGTTACACATCGCAGAAGTTAGTACACTAAACTAGAAGTTCAACAAAAACGGTGAAACAAGCTCAAATTTACAACCAAAGCAGTTTATATATAGTATTAACTTAAAATACAAACAACTCCTTAGTGTACCTGTCAAAATGTAAGAGTTCACAGATAAACGCAACACTTACTTAGTTTCACAGTTACTTGAAGTCATCTTAAATAAATTCCACTTAAAAAAAAAAACAAAACACTTTAATGGTAGCATTCCACACATGTCACAAGCAATCTGTTTGTGCTCAAAAATATGCACGAGCAAGTATCTTTCTCTGCCCCCAAATGTACTGTTACAAAAAAAGCAAACTGGTCACCTTGAAAATTTTAAGGTTCTAATTAGAACTACAGCTAAGCGTCTGAGAGGCTTGTGTAACCAAAGCTTGAGCCAACTACAACAAAAATCCAGATTCAGGATTTTATAAAGAATGCAAGTCTTTTCTGTTAAAAGTATTCCAGAAAAGCATTTACCACACTTAGCAGAACTTGTTCTTATTTTAAAAATAGAGCTCTGAAAGGACAGTCAGCACTAACTAGATCTGGCACAGCTCTGCAGAACAGGCCAAGCAAATACGCAGGTCAGAGCAGCCAACTGCATCCTGTGCCAGAAGCTGCAGGCTGGCAAGGAGGAACAGTTCTGAGCTGGCCTGGGGCAACAAACCCCCCTCCAGCCACTGTAAACTATGTACAAAAGTTATCAGGTGTTTCCCAAAGGAAGAGTAACTACCGCCTCGCAGTATCTCTGTGCGTCTGCAGACATATGAGCCTATTTCACAAACACCTACTTGAAAGCTTGGTGTGTTTTTCAGCTGCTCTTCAAGTCGTTAGATTTTCTAAGTCTGAAGCTGCATTTAAACCCCAGTTTCAGGAAATTAAACAAGGGAAAGCTATAAGCAACTGCCATTAGCAGGGAGTAGTTACTACAAGTGCTTCCTCTTGAAGGAAAGTGCAAATGTACTAAGCGACTTGTTCATACATTCTGAGCTTTGCCCAATCTATGCTGGTCCCATGCCCTCTCCGGCCTCACAGGTTCTTGCCTCGGCAGGGGCTGCGCCAGGAGACCACACTAGGTGTGCATACCAGACAGATCAACTAACTGCGAGGGAGACAGCACTGAGTCACTCCAGGCTTCTCTAAATTTAAAGAGTGCTACATTCATATTCCTTAGCTTTGTGAATGAGTTGCCTTTAAAAGTAGAGGCATGGAGTGACAGCTCATGTAGATTCTGTTCATTCTTATTGTATCTTCCAAATATAGAAAGCTTCACTCACATTTTACCACCTGCTGTTCTAGACTGTATTTAGTTGCACACTGCTTTTACAACAGGTTATTTAACATTTTAAGACAACTACCTTATTCTGGAAGCATGACCTGTACATAAAAGTAGACCGATAGAGCATAGCTGAACTGATGTTACACCATGCTGCCTCTTTAGGAATATCTTCTAAGCTTCATTGACTTTCCAAGTCAAAACTGAAATCTCTAACTGAATCTCCAAAAACAGAGTATATCCTTAAGCAAACACAAAACACTTCTACCTCAGCAACACTATATTCTGACCCTAAATAATTCAGCACGTGCACACTCTAAAGAACTCTTCCCCAAACATGCACTCCAGCCAGTGTCACAGCCCACTAGCACCAGGACACTGTTCTCCATTCTCAATTGGTCCTCAATAAATGATGCTCCCTTTCCTTCTTGTAAGGAACAGAGAAGCTAATAAATATGAAGGAAATGATATCATCCTCTTGCAGCATATTTGCATGTGATAGTCAATGCCAACTTCAGATGAATCCATTTTTTTAAGCAATAAGACTAGCACCACTTGACTATCCTAAATAGCTTGAGATTAATTTTTAGGATGTCTGCTTGGAAAAGTATTCCTAAATTGCTCAAATTCTCAGCTATGAATTAGCTGTGGTGACCATGTCATGATTAACAGATGAATTCCTAAGGACATATTTATCAGGGAAGAATTATAGCAATCTAATTTCCCCAAAAAGAATTTCAAGGCACCCTTGTAACATGCCCATCACATTACATATGAACGTATCAAATTTCAAAAACACTGTAACAATTGCACAAACTTACTGAATCAAATCTAGGATGAAAGGCTTGTATTTTCCTGTAACCATCAAGTGAAGTCAAGTCCCCTCTTCAAACAGCAGGCCCATCTATAACATCCTAAATCGTGCAAACAAAACCAGGTTAACTACAACCTTAGGTTGCAACTGCTGTGAAACTAAGCCACGTCCAGGACACCAGCAGCCACCAGTTGCCTTGAAAGCCAGTCCAATCCTTCATAAAGTCCCATACCGCTCCTGGCATCACAACCCTGAATGTACCAGCTCCGGCCACAGCAGAGTTTGTGGAGACTCAGCAGTTCTGTAATTTCTTCCACCGAGAGCGCACCTGCTACATCCTGCAGCAGAACCAAATACAAACTCAGTTATTCTTCTGTAGCAGGTTTGAGAGGTTTTGTTTATAATCTATAGCTCAATTTGAGAAGGGCTGCAAGTCACATACATGCTTTTCAAACTGGAAAACCAATCAAGCACTTAAGTATTTACCTGTTTTTCTTTTTTTTAAATCATAAACCAGAAACTGATTGTTGAATGTTTAACAGCTTTAAAGATAAGGAAAAATATCTACATTTTATCCTTCCCACATGCCTGTACCTTACCTGCCATGGAACATTCAGAGCGTTTGAATCTGTTGTACAAGCTAAAGGCAAACAAGTAATTGGGAGAGGAAAAGACACACAGAAGTACCTGCTTATTGGCAAAAATCAAGAGCAAGGCATCCCGCAATTCCTTCTCCGTTAATAATTTTGCAAGTTCGCTGTGTGCTTCGCTGACTCTGTCTCTATGACTGCTGTCAATAACAAATACCACCGCTAAGAAAGAAAAGAAATGAAGTTTTAGGTACTCAAATATAAACACTGGATTGTGGTAGCTTTCAACTAACAGTTTTCTCGTTCTATCCTAGTCTAAATGTAGTGCCTTAGCAGTGCAGTTTCAGCTCGGCAGTATCGAGAAATGTCTTATGTGCCTATCATTTTCAGAAAAACCTAGACTTCAGCCTAAAAAGGAAAAACATACTCAACTTCTAGGCTTCATCTAATATAACTACTTAGGTCTAAAAACAGATTTACCTTGTGTGAAATATCTTGGTTTTAAACCATTTCCTGATCCATTTATGCTCAGACTCCCATATGACTTCTAATTTCACTGAACTGGCTGTAAAACCTGCGGCTTCAGCCAAGCCAGTCATTTCCCTGCTCGTCTCAGACGAGCTTACAGCAGGACTATACAAGCCAGGAAGATTGTAGACTCCTACTAATGAATTGAGAGAGTAGCAAGACATTTCACTGTCCATTATAGCGGGTGACTGAGATGGCAGAGAGACTGCAGTGTTCAGGAAGCAAAACCAGAATACAGGAGTTCAAGTCATCAACTTGGACAGTGTGTGCATGTTGGGCGGGGGCCTCTTTCTACCAAGCTAGTGCTTTAGCTGTGGCCTTGGTTTTGCATAGAATTCCCCTCGAGGCAGGCATGATTCCGTGTTACTGATGTTTACAGGTTAGTTTTAAGAGGACGACAGAAACACCAAATGCAGTTTATATATAATGGATATATTTATATAAAGCTAGAAAGATCTAAAAGGTTAAAGTTTGCAAAGAAAGCATAAAGTGCGAACAAATTGGAATCCTTCAACTAATGTCTGTCATTCTGAAATAATCCAAGTAAATCATTTAATTCGTGTAGAACCCCTTCCTAAACTGGAAAACTATTGTGAAGCATTTACAACAGCACAAATTCCCAGGTCAGTATAATTCAGAATTACATTTTCATAATAAAATACTTTTACTAATAAAATTCACACAACAATACCAAGTCAGAATTCTTCAGAAGTTTTAAGCTGCCAACTAGAGAAGAGAGTATTTTCATTTCAACTGCTATTGAAAGTTGTACCTGACAACACCTGGGAAGCATTACTTATTGCTGCAGGAACTACTAGCATGTTGCACCTTGTCTGTTGTTAGCTGAAATCAGTTTAACAGATTCTATTTCTGTTCAGCTCCATGAACCGTCCAATGGATTTATAAAGACTTCAGCAGTCACTACAACTAATTCAACACCACTACAACTAAGGGGATTAAAATATCTCACACCATGAATCTAGCAGCTGTATGGTGCTGTATAGCAATGATTCTCTGCAGTTATAAATTATTTCTGGTAATAATGGTTTTAAGCAAGTTAGCAATAAGTTGTATTTTGTTTTTTAGCTTGTATTTTAAGATGATTTAAAGAGATTCAAAGTTGTGTTAATCTTACCTTGTGTATTGAGATAATAATGCTTCCACAATGGCCTCAATTTGTGCTTTCCTCCTACATCCCAAATAGTAAACTTCAAATTTTTATATTCTACTGTTTCAACATTGAAACCTAAAATAAAAATATTCAGGTTTTATAGTCTTATTCTCTATGAGCACGAAATAATCAAATGCTCAGAAAACCATTACGTTTAAGTCATTACTACTAACCTATTGTTGGAATTGGCTGCATGAATTCATCTTGCTTCAACTTGAACAAAATAGTTGTTTTGCCAGCTCCATCCAATCCCAAAGTGACAACCCGAATCTCCATTTTTGGTCCAATATGCACCCTGTTGTCCTGGGAGAACCGGGATACACAAAGTGAGAGCAAGGTTAGGAAAACAAATACATTCCAGGACACAGAACATCTCATCACTATTTGTAAAGTGATGAAATGCATTGATTCCAAAGGTAGAGGTCACCACCACTTGACAATCATCACCATGAAGAACAAGCCACAATATCCAATTATTTCTACAGTATATCTGTAACTTCTGCACATTTTATTTTCTACAAAACCATCTATCCACTCATGCTAGTATATCTATACTTAAAATTTCAAATCTTGTATCATTCTCAGTCCAAATCCCCTGACAAGCTGTTCACAGCAATGAGCAAGGACTCTCTGACCAGAAAATTGCCCGCTGATTTTGGAGCTTTTACACCAAGTTTTGTTGCAGCATCAATGCCCACACCCAGAGAATTATTTTTAGCAGGAAGCTCCATAACTCCGTCTCTTCACCAGAAGCCATTCCCAATCCTTTAGCACATTAGAGCAACATCAGCACCAAGCAGTAACTTAAAGTAGTGTTAAAAAACAAACAGTAACGTGTTGGTGGCAAGGAGAATCCATTTTGTATTTGTACTCAATGGATCATTATTCATCAGGTTACCTAGAGTACTGAATGTGCTGAGGACAAAAGGATCAAGTGGCATTACTAATGTAAAACACCAAAAAAATAAAACTTAAGACAAACGTATGTGTATCCCAGAAATGTGTCAAGTACTCAGAAATATTTTCATAAGGAATGAGTTGAAAGCAGACCCCTGTCACATTACATTTGTTTTTACTGCAAGATCTGGAGGTTTGGGGCATCATTGTGCTGGGCAACACATAAAAAGTCTGTTTACTCCATCCATTTTTTTCTTTCTTTTTGTGTTAGAAACACTATTTCTTGAGGGCAAAATACTGCAACTTATCTTGGTCCAAAACCACTGAGCATCAATGTGATGTTCAACTAGACATCCACATCCTGTGACCTGCAACACACACACAGGATTCACTTATACAGCCAGACAGATGCCATCATCATCCCAGATCAACTCTTTATTCTTCCCTCTGCAACAGAGCAAGCAGGAAACTGCTCAAATGCTCACTATAGCTTAAATCAGTGTCCTTAGGCTACTGCTATGTCCATAGGCAGTTCTTGTAATAGGATCTTGAGAAATGACAAGAAGCAGGGGAAAACTGAGAAGGGGAAAAAAAAAAAAAAAAAAAGATACAAACATAGCAATGTAAAAAGACCTGAAAAAAAGCCTTTGTGTAGAAGGCAAGCTTTAAGTTTCATATCAAAAGGAACACAAAAGGAAAAGAGGGACTGAAGAAATAGTTTTCACCCTTTCTTTTTTCACCCCCATGACTACTGCTATTTCTGTGAAAAGTGACATTTGCTTTGGCACCTTTGAAACATCAAATCTGGGTTTCGCATGACTTGGTGAGAATCCCAGTCTGTCACAGGACAGAGCAATAGATGCCTCATTTCTTTCCCAGGAATGCTGAAATGAGGAAAGGCATTTGAAGACTTCTGAGTACCCTGAGCCAGGACCTATTTCAGGTCTCCTACTGTAGCCAAGCTGGCTACAACCCTCTCTTCCCAAACGCTCACAAATTTCTGATAGGGGTTCTCTGATTTAGATTAACAGCTTCTAGGGAAAGAAATAGGTAAGGAGCAAGAGGGGGACACTCTATTATGCAAGTCTCAGTCCTTTGAAATCGCACCAGTCAGCTCCTGAATATGCAAGGTGTAACATCTTTTGCAAAAGCTGCACCTCCTGCTTCACATATGCAACAGCACTTAAGATTTAAGCAAGGGTTGCAGACAGATGTCTCCTGCACCCAGCTATCTCTTGCCTCTATTCTGAATGAGGGAAGGAGGGTCAGAGGTGAAAATACTGCACTGATAGATCTGTTGACTGAAAGCTCCACCTTCTGCTTGAAACAAATAAAGAAGTAATTACGTAAGAATTAAAACATACTGAAGTTACACAATAAAGTATTCAGCAGAAATTAAATTTCTCATACCACACTGCTGAAACATGTGCATCCCTAAAGTAGACTGAAAGACAAGATGTAGGCATTTAAGAACACTAATTATTAATTAGTCTCAGAACAGATAATTAAGAACAGCAATTAGTGATGAATCTGGAGAAAAGCTGCACAATGGAAATCATACATATTAATTCTGAATTGCTTTACTGCAAAAGCAATGGAATCCTAAGAAAGCTTCGCCACACGCAAAAGGACATGGCATGAAAACCTGTATCAGAAAGTCACGTAGGACACAGATGTTGATAGCAATGCTAATAATACTGGAACCTAATCCATACGACAGCATTAATTTCCTATAGGAAAAACATCAGTAGAAGTACTTATATCCTCAGTTTCACCACAGTAATAATAGATTCTCATCAAGTGTTAAGGCACTGTGGCTGTAACTAATAGTCAACTTGGTATGTTTAAATGATATTTGGAACTTCATAAAGTGACATAAAGTATGTTCTCACAAGATTAAGGATACCTTTGTAAAGGTGACAGGAATGCTAGCATCCAGCTGGATGTGATCTGCCAGTTCCGTAAATTGCTGCTGCTGTTTTTGTAACGTCTCTAGCAGTCTTGTAATTTCCTGTTTGGCCAACACTACTCTGCAGTCATCCTAAACACACAAAAAGAAAAGGATTCCCTCCCATCAGTAACTTACTGTGTATGATCAAAACCAAAACAAACGCGGTGTCTGGAAATAAAACATTTCAACTATTCCTGTCAAGGAAAATTAGCCTTTACAAAAAATGCTATTTAAATCAAATGTGATTCTGCCTTAATACTAGCAAATCTGAATGTCTATTTCACTAAGTAACCAAATGCTAGTACTAAATAAATTTCTAAAATGTATAACACATTAATAACTTGACAAATTATTTACTGCTTGCTGCACATACTGTTTACTTTTTGCCGAAGTGAGGGAATAATGGATCAACCTGGTACTATCAAATAGCCACTTTCTTCACATGTTTAATAAAATATTAACTATCCAGACAGCAAGACCTACAGAGAGCTATTTAGTCTGTAAACATTCTTCTGTATCAGTGTTACATAAAAACATTTTCAAACATTTGTACCAGTAACTGTAAAATCCCTCTCATAAGTATTGTAGGGTTTTTTGCGTCCATTTATCTCTTTCTTCCAACTCACCCCATGATGAACTAGATGTTACTCCAGAGTACTGCAGGTACATAATCATGCTGTAGCTACAGTACTTCCAGGAATGGGAAAACTTGATACCACTGTACTGGTTAGGTCATTCACGCATAACAAACACTCCATAGTGTATCGTTGTTTTAAATATTATAAAAGAAACAAGAGCGCAGAAAACTTTTTTTTTTTTTTAATGTTATGGCCTAAACTTAACATTTCTCCTGCCCCATGTTACGGCTTGCCTGCCTACCTGCTGTAAAGTCTTTTCACAATGAAGGCAAGCTGTTGAAACCTGTGACAACAAGATGGTCATGTCTTCTTGCTGCTGTCTAAGCCAGATCAACTTCTCCCTCACATGAGCGTCAACAACACTCAGAGCCATCTCCTCCTGACGGCAAAGGGTTTCGTGAAGATCAGAAAAATAGGCCCGGACACACGAGCGAGCATTCTCCGCAGTCCCCGGCACCTACAGTTGTGAGATCAACAGGAAATGCCAAGGATGACAGCTGATGCCACAAATACAATATTTTGCATTTTATTCCAATTTCTAACTCACACTCACATCTGGTTGGCTAGCCTGCATTTCAAGTTTCAGTTGCACAGAGCCTCTTAACAGCCCCAAGCCCAAGATAATTTGCAATTATATAACCTCCTACTGCATCTGTTTTCACACAGACAAAACCATACTGTGGTGAAATACAAGTTCCTCTTCCATTTATGATCTTAAGCCTCAGCATTGAGGTATGTCAAGTATGTTCAAATTCCATTGACTTTGTAAAGATAACGTCTTTTCCTCATACAAAATATAAATGTAATTTGCAAAGAACTTCCTTAAATGACACACTCAGTAGTCAAAATTTACTGCTCTGAAAAGTCTACATTTGTGACAAGCTTAAACAAAACAAAATGCAAGCTACTATAAGAAACAGAAAACTTGCAGGAAAGAAAAAAAAGCATACATGTTCAGTATGGGCCATTCCAACTCCATCTTCAACTATTTGTTCTCCTCCTTCTATTTGCTGAACAATTCCAACTAATTTCCTGGAGTAATCCGAGATTTCTTCTGTGAAAGTTCTTATGCAGTGGGCCATGTCTAAAATGGATGCACGAATCTGGTTTGCCTCTGGCTCCAAGACTGAATGCTATTAATTGAAAGTAACATGTCAAAGTCCAAAACAACCACCTTCCATAATCATCCCATTTTACAATACATATAGTAAGGGGAAGGAAAAAAAGTATGTGTGTATACCTACATATTTAGAAGAAAAGTACAATTTTAAAACAAATCGAAAGTTAAAACACATTAACCTTATTACATTGAGACTAAAGATAGCAATCTAGCAATTACACAAGTGAACACGCTATTTCCCATAATCACATCTAAAAGATGGTTGGACTGTACCAGGTTGGGTAAATTTAGTATTTGCTTGGTAAATAACAATTATAAGAACTGCTGACACAGCACAGCGACCTTCAGAACGGCCTCAGATAAAGGCCCTTTCCATCTTGGCATACAAATAACCATACTGTGGTCGCAGGAACAATTTCTCCTCCCTGCATTTTTACCAGAGCAGTTAACTGAAAAGTATGATAAAGAAATGAACAACATGAAGTTATTTCCAAAAAGATGCAAACATCTACCCTCTTTCCTCATCTTCTGCACTTAAATTTCTAAGTATTATTTATGTAAGCTACCCCATGACACGACAATAAACTCATCTGAAGCAGTACCTTGTGACCTTGATGCTTCCCATATTCTTTGCAGACGCAGCACATGAGGGGACTAGCCTGGCAGCCCTCCTCCAAGCAAACAAACTCAATGGCGTGCACTTGGTGCTGGGAGCACATGGTCTTCTCATGGGGCTTGTCGGCAAGGGGCACCCGCCGGTGCTTCGCCAGGGTCTTGGTGGAGTGTGTCAGCTGGGAGCAGTCTGCACACAGGTGCGTGGCGCACACAGTGCAGTACACAGATGCAACGTGGGCTTCGTCCTCATCGCAGCGGACGATACACTGACAGCAAGAAAAAAAATGGAAAACTGAAACTGTTCTCCAATTCCAGTAACTGGGAAAAAGTCACGGAAGTTAACACCACCATAAACCTAACAAGTAGACTTCTCTTAAAAGCTGAATGCTAATAAATATTGAGAACACTTCCAAAGCTTGCTTTTATTTTTTTCATCAAATTCAAAAAACAAACAAAAGAATTGTCTGCTTTACAATAAACTCCAAAGATTTCTTCTGGAAGGGTCCAGAGATTCCATAGATCCAAACTTCAGTAGAAGTTCCAGGCGTAAAGCATTCAAGCTCTAGAAACTACCTTTTATACATACATCATAGAAAGAAATCATGAGGTTACAGAAAGACAAATAAGTCCTAAAGACAAAATTCTGCTTCTAGAATGACAGCCCACAATAGTCTTTTCACAGTAGTTGCTAATAGTAAAATGATTAAATGAGCCAGTTTTAATAACTATTTCCTATCACATGATATAGTCAAAGACCGAAGAAAAGCAACACTCGGGAAAGACCTGATTTCAAATGCCTAGGAAGAACTTCGCATTTGATACGGAATTGGAATTCATTTTTATTACACTAAAAACAGAATCGTCACATCTAAATATACATTTCAAGCAGAGTAATTAACTTGTCTTTCAATTAGTACCTCTCCAGATAGGCCAATAGCTTCTTCTGTTGTCCCACACTGCCCAGCAGGTCCATTCTGCAGTCGTTCCAACAGTTCCAACAAAGCAAAGTTCTTTTTCAAGCCCCAGACACCAGAGTCTCCTGTTTTAATGAAGTAGTAGATTAAATGGGAGAAGATGAAAAATTCCAAGCAAATACTGTCATAAGAGGCTCCACAAACCTAAGATTCTGACAATCTAATAAAGACGACAGAAAAATGGAGCGAGTTGTAACTACTGTTCTAGCTACAGAAGTTCACACTACCTTTCCATTCTTTACCTTTTCTTCTTTCCACCATGGAACTACTTAATATTTACATAGGTTTTACATAGGTTACGTAGGTTTTCCCTACTGAAGGGTTACCATTATGATTCATAAATTAAAAAAACAACACTTGTTAAATAATCTGCAATAACAACATCCTACTACAGACTGTAAGGAAGATCTTAAAAAATATATGCCAACGTAAATATGTAAACTATATGTCTTTAATATATTCATGAACCTATGTACCATGAACATTTCTACTGTGCCATCAGTAATTATGCAGAACTCACACTGACAAACCTTACATTCCCTAAACACAAGATGCAACATCTATAACAGATCTCAGCCTAGAAAAACACAAAATAAAAGCTAAAAAATATTCAGAAAGGGAGACTCACAGAGAATACGTATAATGAAAAAGAAACTCATGAAAAAGAAAGCAGTAGTCTATGTCTATTTCATTCTCATTTTGCCCAGCTTACATTCCAGGCACATGAAGTTACCTGATGAGAATTAAAAACAAATTCCATACCCATGACTGCTACTAAACATTGTAGACACACACTGTTTAGCATATGTACAAGAACCTGAACACTGAAGTGATTATTTCTCATCTTTAACTTTATGGTTATGATTTTTTTTAATTAAAAAAAAAATTAAAACACTTTTTGTTGGGTATAAGTGCCTCAAAGATAATTATATTTGAGTACTGGCTCAGTTTTCAATCATTCTCTTAGCCTCTATATAGAAAATATCTAGGCCCTCTCTCTCAGAGAGCATGCTATATAAAGAAAAGGGGCTCTATATAATTAGAACGCTGACCAAAGATTTCCTCAAAGGGCCAAGCCTGCCATCTTCAAGGACAGAGCATACAGAACCTGATATCTTCCTGAATTTACAAGGAATAGTTATATTTGATCAACTGCAACAGGCCAACTACTATTGTTAAATGACAGTTAAGTTTTGAAAACAAAGGAAGATTAATTACAGCTAGACAATCTGAGAATACGGAGGATGTGCTTTTATGGACCTTAGCGCTGAAGTCATCAGGAGTTTCTAGAACGAGCGTCACTTAATTCAGGGGCAGGTCAGCTTTTAAAGTTGTCCAAACTATATCCCTACCTCTGCATATTTTGGAGCCAGTTTAAGTCCTAAGCAAGAAGGTCATTCACAAACAGCATCAACACATGCCAACCCAGCTACAGACTGCAATTATTTGTGACTCCTAATTTGCAGCAGACATAAAATACATAAGCTCTTCCTCCAGTCCCAACACTATGATCAACTCAAAGGACCTCTCTGCTGTCTCCATATGGATTCTACTATGACCAGTTCACCAGAATTCATGAAACAGTCCACACTCAATCTCCAAACATCCCATTTTTCTATGAATTAACAGTTAACCCATAAATGCCTGTGCGTTTTTGTAACAAATTTTCCAAGACTCTTGAAGCCAGAGCTGAGAAAATAAACTCAATAAATTATATGCAAAATGACTGGTCTATTCCAGTTTATCCTAATGCAAACTATTTGTTATTCTAAGCTTCGTCTAAATGCTTGAATAGAACGTGTCTTTTGTGTACTGAAGAAAAAAAGCTCTCCTCCATGAAGAACCCCACTTTTACAACTGCACTTGCCTCTCTAACATACTTACTGGAATGTACATTAAGCTGTGAACCTCAGGAATTAAAAAAGGATGTTAAATGTCAGGGGGCTCAACATGAACAATATCACCAGTAGTGCCTGGGGTATTGACCTACGAGCATAAGAAGCTACCCAGAAGTATCTTTTTGTATTTAAACAGAAACTGTATTAAATTTGAAAGCGTTTAATATATTTTACTACTCAACTCTTGATTTGTGTTAATCAGACACAGGAGCTGCAGTTTGCTGGTAGTGTGTAGTGCAGCACTACCTGGATAAAACTGCATTTGTGTACTGCCTCTGAGATTCAGCTATTTGCTTTGTGCTTGTGTGAACATACCAGTTTAAGAATGAGAGGCAAGCCACTCATCACTACACTTCTGTTATTTAGTAAAGCCAAGATAGAAAAAAATACACAGAATAGTATTATTGAACTCAAGTGACTGCTTTATTCCATTTATGTTTTGCTTCAAGCATCAAGTGGAAGACATAATTTTAGGACACAATGCCAGACCCAGTGAAAGGTTGAGCTGCCTCTCACACTTTAGGCAGGAATGACTCGCAGAATGAAAGCTGAAACTAGGGACTGGCTCCAAAGCATCTCTGAAAATTCTTGACTTTTTCAGACTGTATCTGCTGTCTCACAAGAGAGAATCAGATATGAACTTGCAGAAATTACATCCCACACATTTTCCCCAAAGGAAAGACCAAGTTATAGTTTGTATTCTCCCTTGCTGATTCTCTTGAGAGTTGTATTATCATCTCCTGCATCATGTTGCACTGTGGCGGCCTGAAAACAACAGGTCCTCTGCATCTTTCTGAAATTCTGATGCCATCTCACCCATCCTGTACAGATCTTAAGCCTTTCTTCAGTGCCATGCTGTCATACTCACCATTCAATGCATCAAAATGTAAGAGTGAAAGTACAGTCCCAAAGGAAGCACCAGACACCATTTACTGTGAGCAGCAGACAGTTAATAGAAATAGAAATGAGTATCCACAGTCCTCAGCACAGTACATACAGCAAGACAATCATCAGCATTTTCATAGTTCTAAGAAAATGGCTCTCTCCAGCTCTCACACAAGTCTGGATTTGCAGCACGCACATGCAGCCTGTTAGGAAGGGGCTCTAATTACAGATACTTCTTGTGTGTGTGTGTGTGTGTGTGTGTGTGTGTGTGTGTGTGTGTATTCTTTTTATTGTTATTATTATTTAAAAGAGCTTTAGCCTTCCTCTCAGGGTCAGCATTCCTCATGTCACAGAGAAAGGAAGTCATTCCTTTCGACTTCCTTTATTTGACTTGCTTTACAAGTCGAATAAATATAGGATACAATATAGGACACAATATCTATTTTTGGAAATTAGATATGTTAGAAGTTTGTAAATGAGACTTGAAATTGCCAACTCTGCATCTAGATGACTGACCCTAATTCCCACGAAGAAAAGTACAGAAACCAAATTAGGCAGCTCCCTTCTATAGCTTTCAGAGCAGCACCAGTCCACAGCAGAATGACTGTTTGCACAAGCTTCAGTTACTACAGTACACAAGACATACACCAATATAATGCCTACTGGTACTGTCTCTCTCCCGACAACTTTCTTTTTATTATATATGCAAAAATTTGGTAATACATATTACAGATAATCTGCACACTTGATTTTAGGCAAAGATGAAGAACAGCCAAAGCTTACAAGCATGTTTCTCACTAAACTGCTAAAATATAGTTTATAATCAGTAAGCACCCTATTATACACACATTGCCATATAGAGGGTCACATCTCATTTCACTGAGAACTACCATTAAGTTTATGTAATTGAAAAAAATCACTTTTCCTCTTTTTACACTAAAAGCATTATAAAATTGCATCCTTAAAATGGATACTTTCAACCAGCTGACCAAGTATTTCTTTTATGCTAAAAATGTGCAAATAGATTTGTTTTATCTCTGTAGACCTCAGTTCGAATCCTGCTTAGGTCACAAGTACAGAAGAGCCTAGTGAGCTCATCCTTGCACCCAGAAGGAACATTTGTATCTCTTACAAAACCACTACACATTCTCTCTGTCTCTCTTCTAAAATGAGGCCAAGATGAAAAGCAGGAAGCATGTCAGCCAGAAATGCGAGCACAACAGAGCTGTGTCATGATATTAAGGCCAACTGCAGCCAGTAATGTCATTTTCAAAAGCGCTTCACTTGTCTGGGAAAAGACTACAAGTTATACAAAATTAGGTATGAAAAGCACAACTTGTATGAACAGAGAGAAGAAAGCAAAAGATACATCATCTTGCATGATGTTTCAATATTTTCCCTTAGCACTATGAAAAAAACACAAGATAGAAAAAATAGTAATGGGATGTGTTCCACAAAGGCTGTCAAAGCTTGCAGGTGCCAGCTTGCCGATGCATGTTCTAATGATAATAACTAGCAGAGAAGAGTTCCAGCTTGATAACATATTTGCTGGCAGGCAACAGGGACGGAGACAGGCAAACAAACAAACAAACAAAAACAAAAAAACTACTGTTCAAGGCTGCCTTAGAAGTGCTGCTCTGAGGTGAAAACCCTGAGTTTCCAAAGCTACTACATGTAGCAATATCCTTTTCTATGTGTTCCCTGGTTTAGGTATTTTGAGAGAAACTAACCTACCCTACAGAAAGGGGAGAAGTAAAACCTGGTAACAAGAGATGATTCATCTTCTTCTCCCTAACTGGAATACTTCAAGTAAAGATTGACAGTATTTTTTTTTTTCTAAAGAGACTGTTCTATTGAAATATACTAGTTATCAACAACATCATACAAAGTTAATGACTTTGAAAGTTTGAGAATACCCCAATTAAAGAAAAGCTTTGCCTTTACATTTTTCCCCCAGTGAAGAATCCTAATCCAGTTGAAGATAACCATTAGATAGTTCACATATCTCCAGTGTTTACATACTCATTTAAAATTTTCCCTAAGAAGATTAGTCATAAGAATACTTCATTAAAGAACACCTCAAAAATTACATTTAGTCTACTCTAGAAAGTAAAATTGCTTGGGCAAATTTTAGCCTTACCTATTAATTATGAAATGTTTTCTCTGAAAGCAACATTTTATTGGCAATTAGATTTTTTGCTAAACAAGTTAGTAAAGCATTGGCAGTTTTCACCTACAGGCCCTGTATTTCTCGAAGTCCTCATTGATGAACTATTTCTTTTTCCTGCCTTCCCAGTTATCCATGTATAGGCCAGGAAAGTTAAAAGAAGTGCTTTCACATCAACCCTCAAGTTTACCTTTTGGGAAGTTTCTGAGATTTCCTTCTTAAAATTTGGATATGTATGGTATTCAGAGATTTAATGATAAACGAAAAGTAGCAAGTTTACCCACTGAATTCACAAGATTATCAACTAGGAGTAGCCTACAAAAGAATCTATTGTTATTGCTTAAGCATTTTGGTTCAATCCAGGTAGCTTTATGCCATGATTTTATAGCCTCTCCTTCAAAAAAAAAAAAAAAAAAAGTCTCCTTAACCTAATCCTATAATATAGGCAGAAATTTTAAGTAGCTGCCTGAGACTGTCTCATTAAAAACAGAAAACCAATTACAGGAATCAGGAAAACGGAGCTGGTTTCTTTGGTTTCCTCACAGGTTGACATTCAAACAGGGTGAGCAAAAATCCTTAGAAAAAGGCCTGGAGTTGCTCTACTTTTCACCAAGCTTTAACCCTCAGCCAAACAGAGCCAAAATCTCCATGAAGTTAAATAACATTAAGTATTAGCTAATAACAAGATGCACATGGCAGGGGCCATAACAAGATGTACTCACAGAATATCTCACTGCTATATGCTGGATACAATACTTTTTAAAGGTACCTGCTGAGATTTGCAGTGGCTATGACCCCCTGGCCCAAAGGATCAGTTAGAACACACAGAAGCAGTTTTACCTTTGAGCTATTTTGCTAGTTTTCTACTTATCAGCTTTTTTGATCAACTAGTTCTAGAACCTTGACCTACAAGCAAGTTTTAAGGCACAAAAGTTGTCTTTTCTCCTCCATGTCTTCTCAGGTCTTAGCCTAGCTTAGTAATATTCCACTTTTTCTTCCATCAGAAGTATCTCAGCATAAGTTGAAGATATATTGGATGTTCTCATAAAGCTTTGATCTTGTTAAATCTGTTACTGAGTTAACAGTTAAATCTGTTAGTTTACCTTTATTTATTTTTTTAAAGTTTTAGAACTACATTTTCTTACCCAGTTCAGTAACTTGTCGATCAAAAGGACAGCGGACTGCTCTACCGTGAAGGGGGAGCCGGGTCAGACAGTCATGGCAGACCGTGTGGCCACACAGAAGCAGCCGGGGAACTTTGTCACCTTGCAAAGAAAACACATCTTCGCAGACTCCGCACTCAAGAACCTACAATTCACGAAGGGACTGCATCAGCTCCCAAACTGACCGAAGTCAAGGTTCCTAGAAAACACACTGCAACGCCAGTAATGTATTTTATGACATCTCGTGCCACCCTCCCGGGGCCGCCCCAAAGCCCTCCCGGGCCCTCACCCTCACCCACGCCTGCTGGCGACGCTCCCGCCGCGGACTCGAGGCCGCTCAGAGCGGGCACTCCCCACTCCCGCCGCCGCGGCCGGGATGGAACGGGAATGGAGCCCTTCTCACCTTCACGGCGGCGCCCACCGGCCCCCTGCCGCTGCCGCCGGGCCCCCGAGCAGCGTCCGCCGCCGCGCCGGCCCCGGCCCTGTTTACACCGAGCGCCGCCATCGCTGCGAGGGCGGAGCCCCGCGCACACCGGCAGGAAGGGGCGGGCGGCAGCGCGCCGGCCCCAGCGGCGGGAGCTGCGCATGCGCCTCGCGCCCCGCCTCTGCGCCCCGCCCCGGAGAACGGACGTTCCCGTCGTGCCGCGCGGCGCTGCTCTCCCAGTCCGTGAGGACTGCAAGACCCAGCATGCACTGCGCCGGTTCCCTCGGAGAGGACGCTGCGCGCGTGCCGTAGGCGGTGCGCGGCAGCGGTCGCGCAATGCATTCTGGGCACTGTAGTTCCGCCAGCTGGCGCGGGGCGGCGGCGAGGTGCACCCTGGGAGACCTGGGCCAGGCTCCCGAGCGTTGCTATTTTGTGTACGGCGGCCGCGCGCGAGCCACCCCCCGACGGGGGTAGTTTGGCCTGACAGCCTCGCCGTAGGTGGTGGCGCCTGGCGCCATGGACGTCAACCAGCCCAAGCAGGAGCACTTGCTGGCGCTGAAAGGTACAGAGGGGCCGCCCCGCGGAGCGGTGCGCGGGGCCGGGGCCGCGCGGGGAGGCGTGGGGACCGGCCCGGGATGGGGGGAACCGGCGCAGGGGCCCGCGAGGTCCCGCACCGCACCGCACCGCACCGCGCCGCGCCGGGCCCCGGCCTGCTGCGGCCCTGGCGGGTTCGGGTGTTTGCGTCTGTCGCAGGGCGCCTCGGCGCCTGCGGCGGGAGTCGCTATTAGATTTTCTCTATGGCGCAGAGAACTGCGGGCGCTGCTAACCCTCTGCCTAGCGCGCGGCTGCTGGCTCCCTTGCGGTGCCACAGCGGTGAGACTGCAAGTGTAGGTGCCTGTGAGGTTCCTTACGGAAGTTCGTGCAGAAATCAAGGCAAGAAATAGGAAGCGAAGTGCTCTTTCTATAAGGAATTGATATCTCTGCTGGCAGCTCTGTTCCAATGAGTTAGCAATAAAGCACTGAGAAGCATGAACCTTCTTACTTCAGTCGTATATATATATATATATTTTCTTTCTTTCTAACAGTGCTTGTTTGGAAATGATTTAGTGAGGCTGTTCAGTCTCATAAAATAGTGCACATGTGTAGATGACTTCTGAATCTATTTCTGTCAACATAGTAGTTTTATAATACTCTCAGAGAGTTTTTGTGCTATCTCACTGTTAGAGTAAAATTCATCAATCATAATTCAAGTAAAATCACAAGCCTTTATTTTTTTTCACGTATGTGTTTACACACATACAGATGCACTCAAAACCAACACTCCAGAAGATGAAACATCACCAGCCACCACTACAGGTGCATGCTGATATTTCAAAGCTAAAACTCATTGCTTTGCTCTTGTGAAAAAAAAAAAGAGAATCTTTGGTCTTGCATTGAACTTAATGCAGGGTCCAGGCTATGGATTTTGCAAATAGAAGTAAAAAGGAATCTGGATTTCTTTACATTGTGTATATCTTGAGCAGAAGCTTGATGGTACGGTGATTAAGTAATACCAGGTTTTATTGCTTTAAACATTACTGGCCATTACTGATCTCTGGTGGGGAGCCTGCCGGGCTTGCAAAGGGGAATAAAAAGGGCAGAGCAAACACGTGCATGTGCTTTATGTTGTATTTCAAAGGAGTGTTTGTAGGACTGGGAGAAGGAAAACATGAAATGATTTTCCCACAAAAGGAAGTAATGTTGATATTTTTAAATTGAAATTGTATCCTAAAGTCATTTGAAAAGAATCTCTACATTTATGGCTTGAAAGCTTCAAGAGTAAAATGGAGTTAGTAGTTCTGTTACAAAATTAAAAAAAAAATAGACTCAAATGCTGATTTGCCATAGCACTTCTCCTTTAGCGGTCAGTTACGCTTGTCAGTGCTATTTCAGGAAGGGCTTTTTCTTTTTCATTTGCATTCACATCAGATGTTGCTTTATATTCTCTTGGTTAGCCTATGGAAAATAGTATTTTCTTCTTTATTTAAATAGATTTGAATAGCAAATATATATTAGGTAGTGGTGATATACGTTTTGGCAATGTAGTGCCGTATGTTTACGTAGTAATCTTTGGGAAAAGAGAATTGTGGCTATTTTAGCATAGAAAAATTGAGGTCCGAAGCAGCTTCTGAGATGTCCTCAACTGGAAAAAAAAATCACTTTAATATAATGACAAAGAGATGACAGGAATAATGATGGGCCTTAGTGGGTGAGAAGGCTGAGACGGTGGCAATGAAAGGACTACTCTTGGGAGGGAGAGCACTGAGGAAACCATTTGCCTTTGGATCACGTTCAGTGTACGGAAGTTTTGCGGCAATGATGGGATACAGGCACTAATGCTCAGCATGAATGAAGTAGAAATGTTATGATAAGCCTCACTAGTTTATTTTTACAACATGTTGCTTTTTTACAGAATATCCTAGCAATATGTTTCTTCATATGGTAGTATCTTATTCTTTATGATACTTCTACTTTAGGTCCTGTTTTCCACTGGTCTATGCAGCACGAGGCAAGGAAATTCTTGTAAATAAGATGTGTTTCGGTCTAGATTTGAGAGTCCTAATCGAGAGACTGTTCCATTTCCTAATAATTGGATCCCTGCTGTGCAAGAATGGAAGTGGTCTTGCATTATCGACCACATCAGAGAGATCTAAGGAAACTGCAAACATTTGCAGAAGCAGCAGTGAAGGAGTTTCCCACTCGTCAGTTACCAAGATTCACAGCGTGGTTTCCAAATGATTTATACAGACTTCCCCTCAAACCAAAAAGGCAGCCACCTGTTATCTCATGTGAGGAAGCAGCAGAAGTGAAACGACGTTCTACAGCTTCAGAATACGTGGTAGGATCTCCTGATTATGACTGTACAAGAAATCTCCTTGAGTTTCAGCCTAACGTGAGACATGGGCAGACTTTAATCCAAGCTGTTCACAGACCAATTAACGTGGAGAATCAAGAAGAATCACCACTTAATGAGAAACAAAAATTGAAAAGGTCTTGGAGTGTCTCTCTCCCTAGTGCTAAGATCAAAGAAAAGATTCTTCCTTTGTCTGAAGAGCTGCAGAGTAATTTGGAAAGACTGAAACTACATGTGTTTTATAGAGCCAAGTGGACGATCGAACAGTCTATTTGCAATAACCAAACTTTGGAGGACATTTGGGTGAAACTGAATAAGCTCATCAAACACAATGAATTACCGTCTTGCAATGCTACAATCCAAAGATCTGTGGGCCAGATATGGATTTTCTGTGATATATTATACTGTGAATATGTTAGAAATGTTCTTAGAGAAAGGCTAAGTCTTACTGGTAAAATGAATTTGCTTGTTAATAAGTTTGGAATTATTTTTAGTTTATAACTTAAGATAGAGTTCCATATGAATATTGCTCTCTGAAGTACTAGAATTTTTAAGCAGATCAGAAAATAATTTGGAATAACCTATGAATGAAAGAGGTGGAAACTATTTAATATTATTTTGCTACGATTTTTCTTTATTTGACTTTAGCGGATCAGGAATCTTATCAGTGCTTCTATTAGGATTGGTATGTTTCTGTTCAGTTTAGAACTGCATTTATGTAGCTTTTCTCTACATTAGATGTCTAGGGAAAAGGTCTATTGTCTTGACTGTTACAGCAAGCTGTGTTGGTAATAAAAGTTATGCTTTCATTCAAGCCAAGTGCTTCCTCACTGTGCTGTTTTGTATAAAATTAGGAGAAGGAAAAGATACTGTGAAATGGATTGTTATTATCACATTAAAGAGCAGTGGTTATATATATTTTTTTCCACCAAGATTGTGAACATTTGCTGCAAGTCATCCTTTTATGAAGGAATTAAAATTAAATACGTCAAATAAAAATGTTAAATACAAGAATTAAATAGTACTTTACATTCCGTTCTAGCACCATCTTAATGCCATTACTAGTATTTTCTCAGAAATATTAATGGCAGTTTCAGTGGAAGCTGAATGCTTTAGAATAGTGGATATCTTTATTGTTTTCTATTTTACAACTTTCCTAATAGTATTTTTTTGAGAAGATTGCTGATATGTGACCTGTGGTGGCTGATATGTGACCTATGGTGAAGCTTGTAGCTGTCCTAGGCAACAAGAAAGCTGCAACTTCGACCAGCATGTCAGGAAATTAAAAGATCAGGCTTCTACCTATAAATCTCTATTTGTTGTTTTTATGGAGAGTAGTCTCTGGGTATCTGAATGCATGTTTTGGTGAAGGCTGAATTCAGGATGACTTTTTGTCATCTGAAAGAAAAAACCTGTCAAAGTCACACAGTGTGCTCACTGCCATGTCTGGATGATCAGTAGAACAAGCAAACTGGTAGCCATATAATTGCATGGGTCTATGTTGAATCTGATTCTCTATTTACTTTGTTTTTATTTATTTGGGGGCTTTAAATTAACTTTGTTCTAAGTCTTTAGGCTGAGTTTTTCAAGATTTCTCCATTACGAAAATAATGTATTTCCTTCTACTTGAAAATGTAGATAGATTTGTGTCACTGGTAGCAAACTTCTCTCGGTTTCTCTAGGGTAGTTAAGTTCTGGCGAAATACTAGTGCCCATTGCTTCACACACAAACCTATCAAAGCAACTGATTGTTTTACCTAACTGGAAATAGTGAATACTTACGTGACATACAAGATGGCACAAAAATACTATAAAGATAAAAGTGCAGTGTGTGATTTGGAACTAGGCTGTTCATTGACTTGTGCTCAAGAGAAATCCTAAGGTTCATTTATTTCATTTTCAGAAAGTTTATGTTTTTATATTTCCAAAGTTCAAAGGTAAAAATAAGCAGTGGTTTTTACATATTCAGCTCAACATGTAAGGTCAGAAATGCTCAGCTTTTGTATGAGCACTTTCATCTGAAGGTATATGCAAGATCTAGACCACTGATTTGTATGAATAGGAAAGAATTCTTTTTAAGAAGCAACATTTCTTACATATCCTAGGTGCAGTATACATTTAAATCATGTAATTTTGAGTTGTGGGTTAAAGTAGCCTCTCCAAATTCTAATTTCTTGGAATATGGACTTTTAATAATGGATAAAATCTCTATTTTATAGTGCTAGCATTGATATATTGTTTTTAAGCAGGTCGCCAAGTCTGTTGTTATTGCTTTGCTGGTTTGATTTTGATTAGACGGCAGATGGAATTTTGTGTTTTATATAGTGCATGACTGAAAGGGTTCTCATTGATGATTAGCCTGGAAGAGTCCATAAAAAAAAAAAAAAAAAAAAAAAAACCCAAAAAACAACAACAGAAACCAGCGTGAAATGAAACCATGTTTCTACAAAAGGCCATAAAACAGTTAACAATGTCCTGTAACAGATACAAGACCTTTAATGTATTAACAGAAAGCAGTATAAACTGGTGTGCCAAGGAAGTGAAGCAAAAAGAGCAGTAGGTTTTTGGATCTCACAATAGCAGAGAATTTTGTTAGGCTGAAAATAACCTGAGCCAAAGGGGTATCACCTTCTTTCACACTGAGGTTTGATCCTTGTATCTCACTCCATCTTGTGAAAGGAGAGCAATTTTTAAAATCCAAAGATGAATACTGGATTCATTGACCTTTGGTTTGTTTTCTGATTCACAGTGATGAGGCTAACCAAGCCTACTTTGTTCACTAATATTCCGGTGACTTGTGAAGAGAGAGATTTGCCAGGTATGTCTTCTTTACTAACTGATTGTTGTCTACTTATTAGCAGATCTGTGCCATGTGAGCATCTGTGGTCTAGATGCCAACAAGAACCTATCTCCCAAAGTTTATAATCTGAAGCAATAGTGTATTATATGAAATAAATATGCCTTTTATGGTAGCTGTAGGTGCTCCTCTAAAACCCTTCACATACAACTTTTAAAACTGAGGGGGTATACTGTAAACGTACAACCTCAAAATTTTGGGGCTTAGTCATCTTCATCTGGAGAAAACAGCCTTGTCGATTAGAATCAATACATTAATACTCAGATTATGAAAAAATGATTTTGCAAGAATCATTGCTAAACACTTTATGCTTGGTATATAGAGCTGTTAAATCAAGAGTTCATGGTCTGTTGTTCAGTAATAGATGCAGTCTAGAAGTCAAGTATAAGAAAGAAGCAAGGCATGAAACAAGGAAAGAGAATTCTGTTGAAGTGCAAAGCAAACAAGGAGAAAACTTGAGGATGGCTAATTCCATTGAGTTGTACTTTTTACAAGCAGAATTTCCCTAAAAAGCTCAATGTCAACAGCATCTTTGGGATGTGGTTTTCAACATGTATACAGAGTGCTTTATTGGGCAGAGATGCCTGAAGGTAAATTATTATTTATAAGCAGGCATATAGAGCTTTTTTTTTTTTTCAGTCAATTTATTTAGACATAAATTAAAACATGTCTAAAATAAATTACATCTAAATAAGTAGTTAAGATTTATAACCTGCATGTAGACATGGTTCTAGATTTGGAAATGTTCTGATTTTAATAATTTTGTTTTTCTACAGGTAATCTATTTAACCAGCTCATGAAAGATGATCCTTCTACAGTAAATGGAGCAGAAACTTTGATGTTAGGAGAAATGCTTACTTTGCCTCAAAATTTTGGGTAAGAACAACTTATTGTTGCAACAACTTATTGCTACAACTGCAACATATGATATACAAGGTTTGGGATTCATTGAACAGTAATGTGCATTTTACTTTTTATCAACATATAGTGAAGTAATACAGTATAAAATAATATAGTGAAGTGCTTGGTGTTTGGTTTTAAGACTTTTTAAAACTTTTGTTTCTTAATTTACTGCATGAAATAAGATACAATCCGATGCTGGATGATGATAGTTGTCTTTAACTTGACTGGGTCTGTAATGGGAACTGAAAATTGAGAGAAATTTGTGACTGTGGGTGAATTTTTACAGTGCTAGAAACTTCAGTTCTAACTAACAAGATGTACTCCAGTGATTTTAGTGGCTACTGAAAGCCATCTTATTCTGTTCAAGTAAAACTTTCTGATTTATTGGTTCCCTTTTGAAATTGTTTCTGTTGGAAGTTTAAAGTTATGTTTAAGTATGTATAGATGTCAAATTGCCAGTATAACTTAAGACTTAAGAGCAATCTCTTAAACTATTCTCACATTTAACTCTTAGGAAATCTGTTGCCTTGTGGGTACTGGAAATAGAAAAAAGGACAAAAAAAAAAAAATCTAACTCCCCTCACCTGTGATTCAAGCACTGTTTTGAGTAGGTGTGCTCTCAGTGCAGTAGGAATTACTGTGACTTCTATGCAGTTCTCTTTTGTGGCCTTTATAGGCTACCTCTATATAGCATTTTAAGAACTGGAGTGTGTATTTGGTATAGACCAAGTTCCTGAAATTGAACCTAAAGAGGTGTATTCTATTGTTTTTTGGCTTTGTTGGTTTATTTTAATAATATTTGCTAAATATACTTAAATATACTCCTTTTTTTAACAGAAATATATTTCTGGGAGAGACGTTTTCCAGTTACATTAGTGTACATAATGATAGTAATCAAATTGTCAAGGACATACTGGTAAAGGTATGTGAAAATACATCTACTTCCTAGATTATAACAAATGTATTGGATGTGTTTTCTGACAGTGTCTAGTGCAATTAGTGGTAATGCATGGAGTTTAGGTAATATCTGCCACATTTTTTCCAATCCAAAAATGAATAGGCTGTAAAGCTTCTTCAGACAGTGGGTGTGGCAGAGCTTCCACAGCCAAAAAGAATTGCCAAAGCTGTATTCTTTACTGGTTGCACTTTCAGTGATATCAGAGCAAATCTCTATAAAACACATATTGATTTATATTTTACTTTCATTTTAAATTAGTTCAAATGATTTATTTTTGATAAACAAATAGTATGTTGAGTAAAGAAATTCTGAAATTTTTTCACACTGTGGAACTCAAAAGTAAGTGGAAATTTTGTGAGCTGCATGATAGAGGGACTGAATTCTTTATGTATATTTTAAAATTTTTCTTTTGCATTGTTAAGTTACACATCTAAGTTATTTTACATGTGTGAAAGCGTACAGGGTACACATTAGTCCATGAAATCTAGTACTTTTCAAATCCAGCTTGTTTTTCTTCAGAGTGTTTTATGTAGCTGTGTTTATAACCAGTGCATTGTTTTTCTCTTTCCAGGCTGATCTTCAGACAAGTTCTCAGCGCTTGAATCTTTCAGCTTCTAGTGCAGCAGTGACAGAACTCAAACCAGACTGTTGTATTGATGATGTGATTCATCATGAAGTAAAGGAAATAGGAACACACATGTAATATCTTTAAATCTTGTAACTTGCATTTTTCTGTGAATTTTTTTAAATCATTACATATAATCAAGCTTAAACTGCAGCACATGAATACTGAAGTGTTTCTACTTTGATAGAGACATGCAATCTAGCTCAAAAATAATTTTTAAAATTTTTTCTTTCAGCTTAGTTTGTGCAGTAAGTTACACTACACAGATGGGAGAAAAGATGTACTTCAGAAAGTTCTTCAAATTTCAGGTATTGTACAGAAGAACGTGTAGTGCTTGTAATAGGAGACTAGGTTTAGAAAACTGGCATTTTTAAAGCAGTTGATGCTTCTAAAGTGCTTATGTATGTAAAGTACGTACATAATGTATTTGACTTTGAAAGCTGAACCAATGAAATAAGTATTACTTCAAACTGCATGAACAAATGTTTTCTAATTACTGTATGTTTTTCAGAAGTAGTAAATATTAATCTCATTTTGTTGTTTGGAAAAGAAAAAATCAGTGTTTTCAAAAATTTAGTTTTATAGTGGCTACGTTTTTATTTTCTTTTTTCCTTTTTTCCTTTTTTTCTTTTTTTTCTTTTCTTTTTTTCTTTTTTCTTTTTTTTAACTGAAAAGGTATCTATTTTAATTCAAATATAACCTTTGAGTTTAAGATATTAAAATTCTATTTTTCTTCTAGTGTAACTTTTAAAGGAACTTAGTGATTTGTTTGTTTTAAAGAAATCTAGGAAAACAGATATAAAGTGTTATACTAATAGTCATACAAATAATTGATAGAGTTGAAACCTTTTGTTCTACTGCACATATGTCAAGACTCAGTTAGAATAACTGGTGAAAGCAGGAAGTTACCTCTGTAGACAGAGAATTACTCTCTGTAGGCTAATTCTAGCAGAAAATAGTACATTTTAGCCATGGTTTTACAGGGTATTTGTTTTCTGAGTTGTTTGATGAGACTTGGAGGATTGTGGAACTTTTTCTGGAGAAAGAAGAATCAGGAGACATGCTCTGCTGAATACGTTTTGAGATATTCTTGTAGTGTTTCTAGTAGGACAGGAACATTGTGCCACTTAGACTTGTGTCTTGTGCAAGTTACAGGTTATTTCATTTTTCTTTTCCAGTCTTAAATCCAGTTACTTTATATTTCTACCAAAGTACCTCAATCTTTGCAGTCATTGTCAAAGATCAGTAGAGTGAAATGAGTCCTTGTGGACCTTGAAATGGCAGGTGCTGATTAGACAAGATGTTTCCGTATGATCCCAGGGGATGATCCCTACCTATTTGATTTTTAATGGCAGTCTTTGAAATTTACTCTAATTAATTGAAAGACTGAGTTTATCAGATTAAAGGAAAGAAGTAGAAAATATCAGAATTTAGGGATATTAATAAAGAACTGGTTGAAGAAAAAATACTTCTAAAAAAAATTAACTAAATTGATACTTTATTTTTCCACAACTGAAGAGAGTTATGATTACTTGAAAAAATTGGACTTTATGCCTATTACAATGCAAAATGCTCTCCAAGGGATTTTTTTTTAACTTTGATCAGACTAAAGGTTCTATTCCCAACCCTGAACTGTGTACTGTGTCTTGATTGACTTCTACTTGAATAGAAACTAATGAAAATATTACTTATTTAAAGAAAGATAGACATCTTGAGCAAGACGATTTAAGTTCCTTTCCTGACAAGTATTATAGAAGATATTTCTTTCACTTATATCAATCTATATCCATTTCACAATGAATGTGCTAACTATTTTGAGTTAACTCTAGTTGAAAGCAGTTGCAAATCTGTCTTGTTTTCGTTCAATTCAGGTTCTCAAACCGCTCGATGTGAAGACTAAGTTCTATAATGCAGAGGTAAGTGCCAGCTATTTGGTGTGTGCTTTTTGCTTGTTTGGGACTTTCTACTTTGATTTAGGTGATTGCTAAGTTAAATTCAGAGCTTCCTAAATACACTTTCTGAGTTTCTTAGAAATGCAGTGTTCTCCAAAGGAAACAAACATAGGTAATAGTTTATGTATCATTTATTAAAAAAATAGATATCATTTATTTCCTTATATTTTTTAGACATCAGAAGTCCATTTCATTGTCCTTTTTTCATAAATGAATAGAAGGGAAGAGATGATATGCAAGGCAGACACGTCAGAACATTAATGTAATTGAGTGAAAGTTTTGCCTATGTGCTGCTTCCCAGTGAACTCAAAATATTTTCAATTACAGCTTTCATTCTTAGGATGATTGAAGTATACTTGACATAAGGTGGATTGTTCATACTCAAAGCAGATGCTAAAATTTCATTTCTTCTCTGATGCAGATATAACCCCTGAAATATGGTTAACTATCACACTGCTGGCCATTTAGTTGCAAAGTTGTATTAGGTGGTTTGGTTGGAATAAATCAGACAATAATTTATGTCAAGCTAAGTAGCAAGTGTTTTACTATTCAGTTCTTAAATAAGCAGGTATATGTGCTATGAATTTGCATGTAGAAAAGGAGTAAATCTCAAAATCTTTCTGTTCTAATTATTTGTCTTCATTATAGTCACAGGTATAGGGTTTCTCAGGCAAGATTATGACTATTTAAGCCCAAAACACATATCTATTTCCCTCCCTGACATAGGGAAACAGGCAAAGGGAAGAAATATCATGGTAATTCAAGGATCTACAGTGCCATGATCTGTATTGTCTAGAGTTGTTCAGGAGGCTCCCTATAAAGATATTTCCTCTGCTGAAAATGAGCAACATGTAAATTATAAATATACATATGTACATTTGATTTATAGCTTGTATTTTATTAGAAGGAAGAAAAATCAAGGCTTAGGGCATGGTTCCCATTACCGGAGTATCCACGTAATTTATCACAAATGTCTTTTAGAGACTGTGGAAGACTTTAACTGCGGGGTTTTCTCTTGCCTAGCAAGCTGGTATGTTGCCACTCCGATTTGAGTGAAAAGTCCTTGATTAGGTGCTGTTTGTGATACCACGTGGCTGACAGAAACACTGAGCCCTCCATTCTATATGTTAAGAACATACGATGCCCTGGGGCGTAGGGGGCAACAAACATTTTATGTATCAGTTACTGATTAACTCAAAATTTGCAAAGATCAACTAATCAGTTAAATTCTTTGCATTAACATTACAGATGTGATCCTCTCTATCTATGAAGTTCATCACTAAAACTGTGAATTATTATTTCTGGCAGAAAATGATTTAGTTTTTCTAAGACAAGGAAGTAACGCCGAGCTTTAATCTTGTGGCTTATTGCTCGTATTGCAATAGCATCCAAATCAGGCTGGTCGTGGAAATCAGCGTGGCCAGCGCGTGTGCTGCCCCGCAGAGCTGCTGCAGCCCCTCGCCGCGTGTCTCCTGCCGCAGGAGAAGGACCTTGGGCAGGGCTTCCCAGGGGCTGCTCCTGCAGGCGCTCGGTGGGAAGGACAGGCTGTTGGGAAGGTCCCGTCGGTGATGGCTGGCTGTGTTATGGAGGGAAACACAGTTTTATTTTTGCACTTTATATGAATGATTGAAATTATCTGTAAAATGACAACGACTGCTTCTATTTATTTATTCGTTTTTACTATTTCCATATACAATCCATTGCGTGGATTTAAATTCAGGACAAGCTTTAAACTTGCTCAGAAACTAACAGCTTATTTTTTGGATCCATTTATTCTCCCATACCTCACCTCCTGTACCTTATGTGCCTTAGGCTCTGTTTTGGATTGGTTCCACAGCAATTAGTAAAGCCCAAAGCAAAGCTAGTAAATCATGTAACAATACTAGCCATATTGTATTAGAAATGTAGTTGTCATCTTTGTTTGCATCCATTTTTATTTACATTTCTGTCTTACTAATGCTGTCTTTAGATGGTGCAAAAAAATGCAGAAATGCATTTTGTTTGAAAATTAGCCTCCTTTTTCTTTAACATTTAACCTAATTTCTCTAATGTGTTCTTTTTTTATTTTCCCATTAGAGTGACCTCAGTTCTGTGGTAATTTTTATTTATTTATTTATAAATATGTATGCTTTTTTAATTGTCTATCTGTCTCCTTGCTTATTGTTAACATTATTTTAAAAACATAATGGAAAAGCAATGTTTGTTCTGCTTGTCGTGAACTGATGTTTTCCCATCCATCCTTTTTATATGCAACTAATTATTTAAACGATTAACTCTTTCTTTAATACCCACTGTTGATACTAAAAGTTGACTATTTCAAACTTGTATTTATGTGGGCCATTCTCTAAAAAAAAAATCACCAAAATTTTACTGGATAGACATTTTTAACTGGACCAAGGCGATTTACAAGTTATTTTATGGAAACTGTGCTAATTCTTTTCTAAATTATCTTTTTTGGAACACTGAAATGTAGGTTAAACTACAAGACTGCTCTGTAAGCTGTGGCAGGACTTTGCATATCTACTTGGTGGAGACACTGGGTTTGAGGAGAGAGCAGCAGTTTTATTTTCTATCTTCCCTTTGCTACTTCAGACTGCTTTCAAACTTCTAAGTGCATGTAACACCTGATAACTTAGTATGATACTTTTGCAGACTGATTTTGCTTTAAGGTGTGCATTGTATTAAAATGAACTACATTCTTGTAAAATACTGAAAAGTTTTTGTCTTTTTTTTTTTTCATCATATTATTAAAACAAGTTTGGTAATAATATGAAACTAACTTGCTTTTTCATTATGCTGCTTGTTTTATCTTTCCCCTTTCAAATTAGCTCTTCCTAAATTTCTGCTGTTGGCTGCTGCATTAAAAACAACTAAAATGGGGATAAATGGAGATATTGAGCAATGGATTTATGGGATATAAACAGTGTCCGCTCAAGTGAGAGTCAAAATTTGATTGTAGTGATTGCACCACTGCTGTTTTATTTAGGAGAGCTGTGTTTTCTTTCCAACTTCTTCTGCAAGTGTGAGGTCTTTCTGTAGCCTGCGGAGCTTGCCAAGTTTCCATACGTGTCTGTATGCGGTGAGCTAGGTGGTGGGTAACAGGAAAGGCACAATGAGTAGCTCCAGTGCCAGTCTGTATTTCTGCTTCTAACACAGGGCCTTTAGAGGAGAAAGCACTTCAGAAGATTTTGTTCTGCTTTGTTATTTGTAATTTATGAGCAGGACTGCATTGGCCTAATGACCGAGTTACATTGATTAAAAGGAAGCTGTGAGCTTCCTTCCCCCCTTGCCATAAAATACATTCTTTGGATTTATCCTAATGACATACCTAAGCTGTCATATTAATTTGTTGATAACTCTCTTGCAGGTGCAGATTTGGTACTTAAATCGTTCTTACTTAAATTGGTGCTTTTTTTGTTTGTTTTTCTTTTCTGCTTCTCCAGGAGCTTGAATCTCTAGTAGACTGAGCCTTCGCTATTTACTCCTTCTGGAGACTTTAGAGATAATTCTACAGAAACAAGGAGACAAAAATAACTTTACTTTTATATTTCTAGCTGCTGACATTTAAACATTCTGTAGCTTTCCTTCCCATACTAGAGTTGGTCCTTATATCCCATCTTCAGGAATTAGTTTTGTTGTTAGAGGGTTTTTTGTAGGTAGAACATCAATTAAATTGATGGATGCACCAAGTACTAGTACCCATTGGCATGATGATGCAGCTGAGCAAGAAAGGAGGCTGATTTGCTGTTTCGCCAGTACATCAATGTTCCAGAACAGCAACAGCATCTCCGAGCATGTACTGAGCTGTTACACTTGAGTTCAACAAACACGCACCTTTATATTTTATTTTTTCCATAGCTTGATGCACTAGTAACTTGGCATGGCATGGCATTAATGTGCACTGCAGCTCTTTACTCTTCATTCTATTATCTTTTGGGTTTGTTTTCTTGATAATTTGGATAAAGCTTGAGTTGCTGTTGAAGTGATGAAAGTCTTGGGAAGAGGTGATCTAAAGCTTTATAAAGCAATAGCTAGAAAACAGCAAAGCTATCCCACATATCCCATTGTTTTGCAGGGTATCTGTTGACTAACACTTTTGCTCCTATTAATTATTATGGGGATTAAGGGTTTTTTTTCCTGCATTAATTACTGTAGTTTGATTTGCAGGCATGAACTAAACACACGTGTTTTATTTATTACCTTTTTTTTAATAGGACAGTCTAGTCTTTTTAATAGTATTAATTGTATTGTCATGAACTTGCACTTCTGCTTTTTCAGACAGATGAAGTGTTTCTGGAAGCTCAGATTCAGAATATCACCACCTCTCCAATGTTTATGGAGAAGGTTTCTTTGGAGCCATCTATTATGTACAACGTTGCAGAACTGAACACAGTTGACACCTCAGGGGAAAGGTATGTTCAGATTCAGCAAGCAGCTGATATTTGATTCTCAAGTTCTTTCTATTATAATTTCATGAGACGGAAGGAGTAAAATTAGTGAGTTATCTGTAGCTGAGGGATTGCACTTCGCTTACTTGCAAGGCAGTGGTAAAGGTGGATGGGTGAAGTGCCCTTATAAGATCTTGGAATATAATAAATTGTCACATAGTGAAATAAATTAAAATGCCTTTTAACATCAGCCAGTAGATCACAAAATACCTGGAGAACTGTCTGTCACAACCAGTAAACCATTATGGATGCAAAAGCTTGTTATGGCTCAATAAAGGAGAGCTTAAGCCGATGAAAAAGCCTATGGCGATTTTAGAAAATAGCAGTACAGTTCTTGTCAAAAGTATACAACATGTCTTTTACCATGAATAAAGCATCACAAATACTGTAAATTGCAGGAGAATATTGCTTTTATTTTTTTTTAATTTCCTCTTAAAAATTACTTTAAAACAAGTTTCTTGGAATTTTTCCTTTTAAGAGCATCTACTTTTGGCTCAAGGACTTATTTACAGCCTATGGATACACGTCAGTATTTATACTGCCTGAAGCCAAAGCAGGAATTTGCAGAGAAAGCTGGAGTAATAAAAGGTGTAACAGTGATTGGGAAACTAGACATCGTCTGGAAAACAAACCTGGGTGAACGAGGGAGGTTGCAAACTAGCCAGCTCCAAAGAATGGTAAGTCTTTAACTTGGACATACATTTAAATCAGTCTGGCATTTGAGTGCCAGAGTCAAGAAATCTGTGCAACAGAATATGTTGGTTAGAATAAAATTGACTTGTTGAATGGCATCTGGAAGCAAACTTAAGGAGGACCGACCGACAAAAGAGCTTCTTTAAATGTGTGTTAAACTTGACACAAAGTTGACACAAAACTCTGCTGTCTGATTCATGGACTTACACGAGCATCTTTGAACAAAACAGTATTTATTTACAGGATAATACTATTTATCTTTCAGGTATGTGATTTTCAGTTCAATCTATTTCCATCTGGTTGATTTACATATTCTTCCCAGGTTGTGATTACTGGGCTGCTTGACTTGCGTCATTTTTTGAATCAATGATAGTGAAAGAGAGGAAAGAAGTAAAACTGTTGGGATGGTTGCAGCTTAGTTTACAGAACTTGAAGTTGGGTTCTCTCTGTCCCGTGCTTGCTCTTGCTTTTGCTCTCACTCTCTTCCCTTGAAGCTGTCTAGAATATTGAGCAATTTTGTAGGGAAATGAATCACGTGAAGTTGTAACCAGGCAAGGAAACTTTGGATCATGGAAATTCACAGCTAAGTTACCAAAGTTTCCTTGATTTTAATTTAGAGGTCAGGTATCTGTTTACATAGATTGGAAGTTGGCTGCCTTAAAAAATTCAAGCACTTCTCCTTCAAACTTCTGGTAATTAAAGCTCATTTCCAACTGACCTTTTCTGTCATGCCTCTTAAGACAGCTTTTCTCTCCCTTAGTCAATATTGCTTTTTTTTCCTTTGAGATGTGATGCAGCTTCCTCTTCTCTTGATACTGTAAGTGCTGTGCTGTTATTTTAGCTCTAGGCCCTCTCCACCAGCCACCCTTTTCCTTCATTTATTAGCTCTCTAACTGGTTTCACTTAGCAGGCCTGTGGTTTTACCTGTTCTCTGCTCCATGTCCTCACTTGGCTGCAGATTAGGAACCCACTGTCGGAACCGAACGGATTGCGCCCCTTGCTGTGCCTGGGGTGGTGTGGGGCTTCCCAGCCCTGCGCTCCGGGATGCCGCCCGCCTGGATGCTCCCTGTCCGCACCATGCCCGGGCACTCCCGCTCCCGGCAGCATCCAGCTGGTCCAAAGTAAAAGCCTCAGACATGGCATTATGTCAAGTTACCTCTTGGTTAGAGAATCGGAGTAGGTTCCCTCCTGTCATCTCATGCAACTGAAAATGTTTTTTTCTTTTTTCAGTGCTGACTAGTTAGACGTCTTCCTTGCAAGGCTCTATGTTGCTGCCCTGGTGTGGTGTGAAATCCCTCTCCTAGTCCCTCCGCTCGCTGTCATGCCCACACTGGGATTCCTGGCATCTCTCCCAGTTCTGTGATGGAGGGTGTACGAGTGAAAACTGTCACTGGCTTCCTATGCTACTTCAGGGAAACTTTTTAAGCATATTGTAAACATAACTTTTCTTGCAGCATCCCTCCATCAGCAAAATAGCAGAAATTGAATATATCCCACAGATTTCTTTATTTTTTCCTTAACAAACTTTCCTAAGTTTGTTAGTAACCCATGTAAAAGGTGTTTTGGCTCGTGACATGATCGGACAGTTGGTAAGTGTTCATATCATGCACCATTTTAAGCAGTGGCAATTAAGAGTGTTGGGACCGAACTGGCCGGGAGGGCTGAGGCGGGAACCTGCCCTGGGCTGTGGGCTGGGTACCGTGCTTAGCAGAGAGCTCTTGGCACGGCAGGGGCTCCTCTCGGGCAGCGTCTCTGGGCGCACGGACCCTCTCGCTAGGGCTGTGGCAGTAGGTGAAAACTCGAGTAGTGGAAATGTCGCTTTGCTGGGCAGCGTTTGAGACGTCCGCGCTCTTGTTCCCTGCCAGGCTCCCGGCTACGGCGACGTGAGGCTTTCTCTGGAGACCATACCAGACACTGTCAGTTTGGAAGAACCTTTCAACATTACGTGTAAAATAACAAATTGCAGGTAATGATGTCAGGTGATTCTTGTGCTTTTTCCTGAGCGGGTAAGTTGTGGCTGTTTGATTTTTCAATGCTTTGTCCTGAAAGAACTCAAAGCTGATCTTTTCTATGAGTTGTAGCAACACAAAAGTGATGATTTGGGGAGTAAATCTTTTTAGAACTTACGGAGTAAAATGGTAGCTTTCGGAGTAATCTTTTGAAGTTCTTTCATTTTTTATCTGCCAATGTCATTTCTCTTTGGAAGCCAAGTGGGGAGCTGGAAGTTCATGGAACCAGGCTGCAATATCACATAAGATAAACCCCACATTTAAATCATAAATAATTCTTACACCAAATTAGTGCTGGTGCCAGATTACACCAACCTATTTTAAATTACAGCTATCTTGATAAATGATGTTTCCATCTCTTCTGACCTTGCTGCTAATTCTGCAGCCCTGCAAGGAGGCCTGCTGAACAGTGTCCGGGTGATCTTCTGTAACATCTTTACCCACCGTTTGAACCACAATAGTCCTTTATAAAAGGATTTTAAGTAATGTAATTATAAGTAGCATTTAAGGCCAAGGCCTAAGCATAAAGTATTTGGTATACCTTTGCTTCTTGTGGAAGTCTTAGAGGTTGTTCAAAATATGCGTGGTATGATGCTACCCAGTGTATTTAAATCCATGCCCAGAACACTTATGTATTGAATAAAACTGTGTCCAGTTGAATTACTGTACATCACAGTAACTTTTAGTTACCTTCCTTTACTTATAAATTAGTTTAAAATGCTTGATTAACAGTAACACAAGTAATCATTGAGCTGTTTTATGTCTGTAGTTTTTGAATGCTTAAAAAAATCTGGATTTATTCTTGTGTTTTTGTTTTTCCTCCTATTTCCTCTAGCAGTGAAAGGACTATGGATCTGGTTTTGGAGATGTGCAATACAAGCTCCATCCACTGGTGTGGAGTTTCAGGAAGGCAGCTTGGAAAGCTGCACCCAAGTTCCTCCCTCCATCTCGCCCTGACGTTACTGTCTTCAGTGCAGGGACTGCAAGTAAGTCTTCATAACAGAGCTTTGTTAGCAAATAGCCATTTTATCAACTTACTCATTCTTTTTAATATTGACTTGATAAATGCTTTTTATTTGTAGAGTGTCTCTGGCTTAAGACTAACAGACACATTTTTGAAGAGAACATATGAGTACGATGACATTGCACAAGTCTGTGTGGTTTCTTCAGAAGTCAAAAAGATAAAGGAAGAAGTTCTGTAAATACTTTTGCTGGGCTTTTCTGGACCAACCTGCTATGGCTTTGCGGCTGAATTATTAAAACATGTAAAAAGAGGAAAAAAACAATATATCTATAAGCATAAGCATGTTTATTTAATTTCTCTGTGCATTTTTGGAATGTTTTAAAATCTTTTAAAAAGAGGTGTTTACATTTTATCTGTTGAAAATAAAGCCTTTGAAAAAAGAGCAGCTCTGACAAACGATACTGTCGTATAGCCTCTCATGGGGAAGTTGCTCACCTGCAAATGCAGCCTTTGGTGCTTTTGTTACTCACTGAGAGCTGCTTGAATCACCCAACTCCATGGAAGGTGCAGGGGCTGGCGAGGGGCTGGGCCAGCAAAGCTGGGCGCAGGGCACGAGGCAGGTGCTCCGTGCGAGCCATGCAGCCAGCTGGGAGGAACTGAGCATTATCTGAGCACTGAAATGCACTTAGTTAGCACCCTTCCTTTAGTTACTTTAGCATCCTTAACTTTGGAAGAGTTTAAAGATATTTTTTAATCAGGGAAAATTAAGTGCTGAGCCTATTTAAAAAGTACTGGATAAATAAAAATTGGATGGATAGGTGCCCATAGGAAACAAGAAATCCAGAACATGCCCTTCATATCTAATAAAATGCATAGACGGTATTTAAAAGATGATACAAACCTGTTAAATCTTGAAAAGCTGTTTCTAGATATGCGAAGAGGCTAGAAGAGAGCAAAAAAAACAACTATCCACGCAAAAAAAAATGTAAATAACTTTATTTATAATCTGTTTCCAAGGTAAATGACACAAGTTAAAGGAGAGAGAACCACGGGGTAGAAAGAGGTAGGAGAGACAGAAAGGGCAGGCAAACTGCCTTTGCCCAGGACGACTTATGGCTCTGTGTAGCCCTCGAGCAGTGCAGGAAGTTTCCTTCGGAAGTTTCATCCTGAGCAAGAATTTGCCTGTATGGGTGATGTATTCAGGCAAACTACTATGTAAAAATTAAAACAATTAATTACAGTTAACAAAGGTTTTTGTAAACAAAACCAACTGCAGCCTTGACTATGGAGAAGTTAGCTTTTTAATTATTACAAAACCCAAAGTACAGCTGAAACACTTCTATACTGAATATTTAATCAATGTTTTTCTGATTAGATACAGTTAGAAGGGTATATTTCCATGCAAGCTTGTTACAGGAGTTGACAATTCATGAGTGCAAAACATTTTCTTCTCTAAACAATTCTCATACTCATTTGCTGATGGAACAGTAACAGTACAAAAAGGTTTAAATGCTCATTTTTTCAGTTAAATGATGAACCGCAAGTGGCCACAAATAAAAACCGTCTTTACTTTGATTGGTGTTTATTACTTGATCTACCACCCTGAAAACCACTAGTGCAAAGTAAGGGGCAGTTACTACACAGGAGGAAGTTCCTTCCTTGCCCTGTGGCGAAGCAATACTCCCTGACTTGGTGAAACAGACTGACTGATTCAAGGCCAACAGGATTAGAGCATAAAGGGGCCCTCTGTGCCTTGCTTCAGCTGGGAACGCCTGGAACGACAGCTACTGTCACTAGTTTTTCTTATTTATTTGTTATTACTATTCAGGATATAAAGCCCTTTCTGTCCCTATACAGAAAACAGGATGTTTACAAGTCAGGTACTGGGTCAGTTGCAGCCCTTCCTTAAGGGTTAGGCAGTGTCACCAAAGTGGGGGTAAATATTCTGGTTACCTATAATCTGTACTGGAGCAAAATGTTAAGTTGACATTATTACAGTAGGTGAAATGGAAATTACCATTTTATAAAGATGATCTCAAGCATGCTTTGCTGCATAGTTAATCTTTCCTTGTGGACACTTCTCCCATAACTCCAGTAAGCTAACAGGGCTGTTGTATATAATATTAACAACAAAAATCAAGGAGGAAAAAGTGTGTTTACCAAAGACAGAACCACCTTTAGCCACAGCTGTTATTAACTACACCACTTCTCCAATTCTTAAGCACCTACCAAGGGGTTTCTCCACAGGGCTGCTGCTGTGACAGCGCAAGCTGACCACGTGCACGAGGACCACGTGAGGAAAGCAGGGGCGAGCTCAGGGGGACGGCGTAAGCGCCAGCTGCGCTGCCCTGCGCTCACCGGGTCCCCTTATCTAAGTCTGAGTTCACTTAAAGCAGTGGAAAAGGGAGAAGTAAGAAGAAAAAATGGACTGTAACAAAGTGCATGTGCCTGGGGTGATGCTGCTCCTTGCTGTCACGACACTCCTCCACGCTGTTTTAGAGAGCAGTGGTTATAACCTTTATAATCCTTATAACTCAGGAACCATTTTTACTATAGGGTATTCCGCCCAATGAGTGCAACTCAATTATTTTTTTAGGTAGCAGTTACCTTGAAGAGATCGCAGGCCTGAACTGCCTTTAAAAAAGGACTAGGTTTAGGGATTCTCTGTACATGATACGTGAAGTCAGAAGTTACCTAGAAAGGCATTTGATTTTTACATAACCATTTCTATACCATCAGAAATGTGGCAGCTGAGACTTCTAAAGAGTTAAAAAGCAGCATTTTAAAGAGAATTGAATAGTTTATGCAAACTATTGGATGAAATGTTTTAGAGTTAATTAATTTCATTAAGATTTAAATCTTTATTCAACAGATATTATGGAGCACCTGCTTTTCTCATTTTTCCCCTGGATCCAGTTCCCTCTTCTTCCTGTTCTAATAGCTGCAGACTCCTACAATAGCTACAACAACTAGCATCTATTAGAGTCAAGGACCTGACACACTGAATTCTCCATTTGCTCCCATGCTCTTGATTTGACTGCAAGATGAATCAGATAAAAATGCCCAGGGACCTGGGGTTCCTGTGTATTTCTCCCCTTGGGAGTCTCTGCTGCCTGTACTTCCCTCCCGCTGCTCTGCCAGCAGAGGTCCCTTGGTCTTGGAAGCCAAGGCAGGCTCCTCAGAGGAGGTTTGGATGCACAAAACCTGAATTGTGCATGGTTGGAGTTTCCTTGAAGGAGAAACAAACGTACCTTGCAGCGGAAAGCAACTGGCACAGCGAGTAAAAACAGGTAATGAAATAAAATGCAGAAAAGTAGTAGGATCTGAAAGATTACGAATAGGCAAGCAAGAAAAGCCAGGGTGGAAATAGAAATACCCAAGACTGGAAAAGCTTTAACTTGGCCATGTAACCATCACTTGGGATACATGTGTATAATGAAACCTTATATTGTTAATTGAAGTCAGTGATTTACTGCATGAGATTATACAGAGATGCATTCCTTCTACAGCAGTTTTTGGATAAATTATCAGTACTAATTATTTGTCCAGTCACGGGACCAGTTTTAGCTCGTTACAGTTAAGGGTTGCAAGCTGAGGTGAAGCCCTGCATCCCTACAGAACACAGCAGTTTGTGCTGCCTGTGTCAAAGGCCCCCAGGGCCACCGTGCGCCCAGCAGCAGGAAGGAGAACTGCTCAGCACTGCCCTGCTCCCAGCCAGTGCCCTTCTGGGTTCCGGGCATCATCCTCCTTGAGATCACTATCCTCTCTGCACAGTTTGTGGTGCTCCCCTCACTGCAATCGTCTCCCTCCTGCTGCCAAATGAAGCTGGAAAGTGTTTCATGTTGCTGCTTTCAGCCCCACCACAGCAGCTCTCCAAGCATTAGCTTTTACACTCAATGCTCCAACACTGATTTACACGTGTTTACATCAGGCATATGAGATGTACATTAGAGGGCCAATTATTGTTTCAATAGCACATTTGGCAGGGAATACAGTCATAAATTTTTTTGCTATCAGCATAATATGCTTTTCACACTAGGATCTTAGAATTAAGCTATTATGCAAGCTTATCAGTCCACCACACAAGTCCTTCACTCAGACACCCCAGAGCTCACTCTAATGCACACACTGAAAATGACATGTATGCTGGGATTTAACAAACCGCTCGGTCTATGTAGTGTTAATTTTCAGAGGAGTAACTATACATCAACAGTATGTTCCAAGTTATGTGCAAGAGATCTGTTTAACAGATTTATTCTTGTTTGCAGAACACACACAAAGAATTTTCTGTCTTCTATTCAAGCAGAAGAGTTACAATGGTGCTTTTGCTACTAACTATGGTATGCATTTGGGGGTTATATACCGTGCCAATTTATAGGGCTCCTTTAAGTCAGGAATGCTCCTCAGTGCTGCCGCTGAACGATCTGCTCCGCACGTGATTTCTCAGTTGCTCTATGAGCTCAGGATTCTGCTGCTGTATCTGCTGTGCAAACTGCTGCCCCCTGTGTTGAACAGTTTTATGTAAAAGAACATGTGAAAAAAATGACAAGCAGAATTTGTAAGAAAACATGATATCCTGATACAACTGAAAGCTGCACTACAAGAAAGCTAAGACTAAAAATTAATACTATATACTAAGTTGACATTTGTGGTATTTGGGCTTTATTTAGTCAAATAAGGTCATCGTATGGTCTTCATTCCTTCGAACTACAACTTCTAGTTGATAACACTGAGGAAGAAGTTTTTACCTATTTGCTTAGACTAACAGTAGCAAAACTGCTTGAGTTTATTTTCAAGGGCCTCTTGAAATTTATTGTATTTGTTTAAGGTAAAGTCCCCTGAACCTGAAGGGCAACCTTTTATAAGCTTTGGCAGAGGTACAGTTCCTGCTGCCAGCAAGTGCTTGTGGCAGATGGTCCCGAGTAAAAAGCAGTCCACCTGCACGTCTCAGACTGCATGGCATTCAGGGCTGATCCACCTTCAACAATTGCATCTTAGAATAAAATGAGTAGGTGAGATTAAGTCTATGTGAAAAATAAGCAAGACACTAGTTTATTAGGAAAAGCAGGCAAGTAGAATCCATTACTCCCTGGCTAGCCTGGCATGGGACCCTCTGCAACTTCTGCATTTGCTGAGGCAGCAGAGGTTACCAAGACAGCTTTGAAACTCAGCGCAGGTTGAAGGAAAGCCACCGTCTTTGGGGAAACGCAGAGCAGAAGATTTTGTCAAAAGAGTCCTCTGTTTGGAGAGGGTGGGCTCCTTCTCATAGTGCATGCTATAAATTACTACATCCCTGGAGGGGCAAAACTTAAAACATGGTTTGAAACAGGCTAGAACTCTGGAATAAAGTGAAACTGAAGACCAGTCAGGAGAACTTGCCATATAAGCAAATTACACATGTTTTTGTACGCTGTGTTGCAGATGGATTATCATTATCAGATTCTAAATGAGCTGGGTCTTGGCTTTTGTAAAAGCCACTTCCCTCCTTATTAGATAGCGAGTTCCCTGGAGGAGCAGCACTCCCACCCTCAGGGTAGGATGCCAGAGCCCTGGCAGGCAGGCAGGAGCTGGGGAATGTGTTGCATCCCCTGCTCACTAATTTGTAGCTTTTCACAAGAGTATCTGGGATACTACTGTGCTTTGATCAGTGCAATTCGAAAGCAAGATGTAGAAGCACATAAAGGCTTAAAGTAGCATTTTTAGTAAATGGCATTTAGAAAGTAAACTGTGCATCAAATCTGGAAGGTGAAACCGAGCACACAGTTCTGCCATAGGCAAGTGCATGAAGCAAGGAAACAGAGGAGCAGTAAGTTGACCTTTGACTTCTCAGTTTTTATAATAATCATCAAACATATACTGTGGGCTCTCCCCATTGTATCTGCTTTGATACCTAGTCTTCTAAATAGGTGGTGTAAAATACTGCTTCTAAAATCGTACTTAAAAGTATGTGATTCAAAACACTTACGCGTGGATGAGGCTGGACAAATCTGAGAGGCCACCAACACCCGCGGCTGGGCCACCGATGGCATTTGACATCATCCCAGACATCCTGCAATGGAGAGCATGAGGTTGTCACTGGGGTAGCTGGGGACCCTGACAGTAAACAACAAATTGCCAGGAGGAAATGAGGTGCCAGAGGAAGAAGCTGCAGGAGTTTAACAACACACACAAGTCCATTTCCAGAATAACGACACTATCCGCTTTTTCTCTGTTAATTCAACCCCCTGCAGAAATTTGTTTCAATGATAATCTGTATTAATACTTACAGTTGTTGAACTTGAGGATTCTGCATTAGGCTTGCTGCCTAGAATAGACAACACACAGCTGAAATTATAATATATTTATTACTTAGGTATTATTGAGGAAGATGGGGAAAGAAAAGCAAAACACACAACTGTATCCTATCTTTTGTTACAAATTATAAGCTAAACTTAGATGCATAGAGACAAACGATCCTGAGGGGGGAAATAAATAAATAAATATATATCAGAAATTTTATTTTTATCAGAAGTTTTATGGTAACACAAATCTACAGCTAGTCTACAGCTGAATATAAAACACCAAATTCAGCTTTTTATTCTCTCCAGCATTGGAAACAAATAGGTTTAGGCACCAAGTGGTGGCCACAAGTAATTTTATCAGGGTCAAAAAGTAGGTCAATAAAAAAAATAAATAAATAAATAAAAACCAACGCAGCAAAAACCCCACCACATTCATTCCTGTCTGAATAACCTCTGCTCTACTTTCTTTGCCACACATCTTCTGAAAGGATAGATAATATTCCTGCCCCAGAGTTAGCTTCATATGGAAAAATCTATTTTTGACTCTAGACAGATGCAGACTGACTAAATAAGCCACATGGCAGCAAAGTGGCAGGTGGAGTTCAGTGCTCCTCAATCCCTAATGCCACTGCAGGACTCGCTTGCCGCTTCTTCCCTGCTTCCCATCTCTGTGATCTAGAATGCAGCCTTAAACCACATCTCTCATGTGGAGCTTTCGCATGCTGAAGCACTGGTTGAAATGTTCTATACGTATTTTTGATCATAAGTACAATAGAACTGACTGGAGATCACACAAGCATTAGAGGAAATGTAAGTTTCACTTTTTAGTGTCAGTGTAAAGTCACTTAGAAAAGTTTAAATACAGAATAATGAAACAAGTGCAAGCATTTGAATCACTTGTCTTCTTGAACCAGTTGTCAAATATTCAGTTGTAAAAATAATACAATGCAAAGCTTAAAATATACTCACCATACTAATGAAGGCAGGATTGTTTATCAGGCTTGCCATGTCAAAACTCAGTCCGGTTCCAGTCTAAAAACAAATTTGAAAATTAACTTGCCTACAAAATCCCTGAAAGCTGTAACCACTGTAAATAAACAGATGCAGAGCTAACTTACAGGACTGGACACATCTCTTAGCTTCTGTTCTGCTATTTTCAAATTTGACTTGTAAGAGTCATTTTCTGGATCAAGATCGAGTGCTTTTTGGTAACTGGTAATTGCTTCTTCATATTTATTCACTGAGGTCAGAGCCAACCTAATGTGAAAGAAAAAAAAACCAAAAAAAAACCAACCCAGGTTGGAACGTAAGTCAGCACCAAAAGACAGTGATACTGACATGTTCTGCCTCAAGTAAAACACGGTCTCACAACTAATTCAGGCCTTCAGCACCAAGTTGAAGTGAGCCTTGCTGTCGTACTCCTCCTGCTTACTGAAGCTTTCATTTCTGCAGAGCAGAGGCTCCCTGAAGGCCTCATCTTGCAGTGTCCGTTTCACAAACACGTGGGATTCGTTAAAACACTTGGGTGCATCCTGAGCTAGTCTGGATGCACAAGCCAGACCCAACACATTCTGACCATTCACATGAGCTCCGAATTCCTCCAAGCATTTCCTCCCATTACTCTGATCCGAGAAATCGTTCAGAAGGACACACTGCTAAGCAAGGTGAAGGATGCTCTTCCCGTTAGCTCTGTGGCTTCAAGGAGGCAAATCCTGAAACCACAAGTTTCTGCCTGCCAACCTTTTGTCTTAGAGTCAGAGCAAGACTCCATAGCTTGCCTAATGGTTATATGGGACAGTATCATCATCCCTAAGCCTCTGCAAGGAACCCTTGTGCCAAGGAAAGCTGCTTAATGGTTCAAAAAAAGATTTTTCCCCCGCAGCTCAAGAAAGCACAAGATGGATTATCTACTATTTTTGAAAAAATACTGGTTTTAAAATTTGATTATGTACCACATTTAAAACATTATCTTCCCTTGAGCTATTCCAGAAGCTCATCTGCTTGCAGTTCCAGTTCTTTCTTCTGCTGTATGTTCAGTTCAGACAGACTGCAGAGCTCTGCCCCTCTTTTCCCCACGCTGTGGGCATCCTGCACATCCTACACAGAGCTGCTCAGCACTCCGGTCCCCCCAGCTCTGAGCTCCAGGGAGCAGGGTGAGAACCCTGCGCTGGTGCCGGCCAACTGCCCTTAGCCTCTGTCCCAGGCAAGAAAGCTCCTGCGTCACCAGCATCAGTCCCAGCCGTCGCCTTCAATGATCACAAACGCTGCCACTGAAATACATCAATAATAGCTTAAAACTCACTGCACTCCTGAAGGAACCCATGCAACTTGCATGTTTTCTCCCTTAACATAGTTGCTTTCCAACAACATTCTCTCTTTTGGCTCATGAATTTCACAAAATAATTGTTTCTGATCAGAGAGAAATATAGTCAGGTATTCCTGAGATGCAGTTATGCTTATTTCAAAAGAAAGTAAGTAAAATCCGGCTTCTTGGAGCACAGCCCAAGTCACAACAGAGACAGCAGTTTTCTTGCTCACAGTTCCAGGCCCAGCTCCCAGCTCTCCCTACTCATGGTGGAGGCATGTTCTGAACTGCCTGCATGTCTCCCATCTCTGTGACTTCTGTGACACCTCTGCTTTTCTAGGAGCACTTACAGAGCTTCTCTCAAACCCTCAGACAAACTGAAACACCTGTGTAATGCAAGAGGTAAACATAACCTTCTCACAGCACTTTTTGTTGAGATGGTGGCTTCTGCACTTGTTTCTTTTCAGATATTACTAAACAGGCACTGTTTCCTCATTCAGCTTGTGCAAGTTATATTATTATCTCCATCTACCGAGTTAAGCAATAGCCTGCAGTGCAAAATATATCCCCTATCTAACAAAAATTTATCAGCCTATCAAACAAGATAGACTGGATCCCCTACAAATGATCCCACTTACACCATCAAAAAGCACACAGGTCTTATATCCAAACTCCAAAATAACCTCCAATTTCCAATTAAATCAGCCTGGGTTTCTCTCTATCACGTCTCCACACAGCAAAAGCAAAGAGTTGTTAGAAACAACTAACTAGGGTTCCACCATCTCAAAAGCCACCCAGGTTACATCGCTACTAGTAAAATAAACTCCATGAGGGAAGATTTTCAGGTAACAGAATTCCATTATTTTAACTCTTAGGAAAATGGCCCCTGGCACTGTTTTGTCCCAGGCCAACTAGCATTATCCCAGCAATTCTGGAACATGGTTCAGAAGTTAACACAGGCCAATGCAATTCAGCAATAGGCACTTTGAATTCAGCCACTCAATAATGCAAACTGGCAAAACTGAATAAAATGAACATGGACCACTTGGTGCCAGCTGATCAAGAACAATCCCAAGCATTTTTTAATTTACTGGTATAGGAATAACCTCAAGAGCCAAAAGTCTAAGGCACTGCTCAGTCCAGACTCTCACAATCTTTCATTATTGAAAATGCAAAGCTATTGAAAATGCAAGCATGAATTGAAACAGAATAGCCCTTCACTCAAGTAGATTTTCAACTTAGGAGTATATTTCTGGCATTATCATTTGAGATAGCACTTAATGAGACCCACTGCTTAAAGGGATAATACTGTTAATCTCTTAGAAGTGATTTAGAGAAGCTACTAACGAGATATAACATGGTTTTACTATAAAATAATAATAATAATCTGCTTAGTAACAGACATTGCACAGGAAAATTAAGGCTTTACTCCTGTTTGGAGCCCCAGTTGTAGTCCTATTTTTATCAGTACTATGAACAAACTTGACTCACTATTCCAACAGTAGAATTCTCATTACTCTATAATGAGGTAGGAGGCAAAACAACAACAACAAAAAAAAACCCAAAACCAGACTCCTGACTCCTAAACTAGAAGTTGGTTGCAAAGCTGGTAAGTCGAAAGAAAAAAAATGCAAACTGGCTAAAATTCATATGAAATTGCTAAGATTAACAGCCTCCACAACCCCTAAAGCTGATACCCCCATAGTATCATTTTAAGGGAATTTAAGCTCCACCAATTTCAGAAAATATTTACACTTAGTCCTCGGTGTCTACTCAGATTTATATCAGCTTACCCCATTCTCCCATATGCTTTGCTGTATTTTGGATCTATTTCTATGGCTCTCTTACAATCCTTTATTGCTTCACTGTACTTGTTGAGCTTACTTTGAGCAGCAGCCCTGAAAGAAAGTGGAGAGGAAAGGAAGAAAATTTTGTCATAAAGCAACAGAAAATTTATTTTTCCTGACTTTTCATTTGTTATACAAAAAATGCCTAAGCTCTCCTTAATTCACTGGGAGATACAAGTGTCCTGAGTTAAGTACGTGCCTAAGTACATGGCTAGACTCAAGCTTTGGAGAACACAGGCACCCCTTTAAGGACACGAAGGACAAGTAATTCCAAGAAACTGTTTTAGAATCAGCACATGACTATGCACAAAATACACTACAAAACCTGTTATAAGAATTTAAACTCTCACATAGTAGCATGTTTACATAAAATCATTATTAAAACAGAGGTATTTAATATGATGGCCCTTTCTCCAGCAAGAAGTATACTTTTACTGCCATTTCATAACTTTCAAAAGATGTCCTCATTTTTCACTGCTCTTTTCTCTTTCTGAAACATCAGAACTGCTAGTTTCCTTGAATAACAGCTGTTCCATTTGCTCGCCGAAACTCGCTTCTGGATAATAATGGAACTAGCAACTTTCTACTGAAAGCCAGATTCCTGTTACAGGAACACGGTTGTTCCCTAGAGGCAACTCATGCTTACAGCTAAAAGAGGATAGCATTTCTTAGCAATGTCTCAATTACTGAATTATAATCGTGTCTCTACACTAGAGACACACAACTAACTGTCAAAGACATTTATACTTAATGAAATATTTTTCTCTTTTATTAGGGATGCTAAATATGACTGAGATCATCATTGTATTTCATCCTCTTTCTCATGATACCCTCTGCATCGCACATTTTGTCTGACTGATTAAAATCCCTTCTGAATAGGACTATTTATCTTCCAAATACCTGTCCAGCTTCACAGATGTCAGGGAAGATGTATGCATAAAATCAGAGACAATGTTTAGTCTTGCATTTGTTTGAATTGAAACTGTTTAATCCATGTTGGCAGATAATTTATATGATCAGTTAAAACATAGAGTGATCTCAGCTTTGTCGTCTTCTCGCTGCTATAAATAAAAAGTAATACTGTTGAATACAGTAACTCTCTACTGATTCCTAAATAGCCAAAGAACAAGGTCTACGTTTATCTGGACACTGCATCACACTCAAAACCCCAAAATCTGGGTGTCCTTCTTTTAAGTAACTTTTTACATACAATACAGTGCTCACTGACATTATGATGAATTTTAGTCCTCACTCATTTAGCACATGATGATGTTGCACAAACCATGAAGTATTTCTTCTCTTTTGACAATTACAGACTTGGTGCATAAGCACAATCTAATTAGGAAACTTTTACTGATTTTAGGAAATTTTGGAATCATATATAGCCATTTAAAAACTAAAATCACTTACGTGATTAGTTTTCTTAAGGGAAATAATGATTTACATTCTAAACTGTCCTGAATATTTCATGTAATATTAATGAACTGTGAATTCTCTGTCTCTCTATGCTTGTCACTAAACACTGAATCATCACTTGTACCTGTTGCAAACAATTTGATGAAGCATAGCTCAGAGAACAGAAAAATCCACTAGATACAGTGCCACAAGGCCAGATTAACTGCACTGTAGTTCATAAATCCTTCTGGTAACAGACGCACCAGAAAGAGCAGAAAGGCTCTACAGTGCCTGCCTAAAGAGAGGTCACTTCCAGGAGGTCTCACAGGCTATATTGTCTATATTCCTATACCGACCTTCAGGACAGTGAAGCTGAATGTGAATGCTCCTGGCTCTTGGGATAACATGCTCTGCCAGACTTCATCTGTTCCCATATTGGTAGTAAGGTGAAGAACTGATTACACTATGAAACTAAAATAACATGGTCTTGTTGCTTTTTCAACAGGTCCTACATAAAGGTACTGAATACTTAAACTACACTGGAAAGTCTCCCAAATGCTTTACTCGTGACTCTTTCAAGGGAAAAAATCAATATTGTGAGAGAAAGAGAAGGTGGATGATCCATTGGAACACTAGACAAAAAGAAAGGCCCCTACTTGCAATAGACTTGGAATCACAATTTACTATAGAGATTCTAACTAACAAAAACTTCATCTTGAGTGTTTCTGATAAAGATTCTTATCTTTAGATAGATCTGCTATAAATTTAATATGTTCCTGAACAGCAGGCATTTTTAGTCTCAAGTTATTTTAATCTACTTCATAATTTACCTTTAATATTATGTTCATGAAGTTTGAGGAGCGAAAGGGGTGCATTGTTTTGTTTTTACCTGTTGCAGTAATAGACTGCATTGTTTGGATCCAGTTCTATAGCTCTAGTATAGCAATCCACTGCAGCACCATAATTTTCTTCTTTCATGTGATTGTTACCTGAAATAAATTACAGAAAGCTCTTAAGCATTTAAAAGGTACAGTGCTATGTATGAAAGCACAATAGTCACTATAACATCCAATAAGACAGCTATGACTTCACTTTTTCAAGATGTATTCTTGTAAATAGAATTGGGAGGATATAATGCAAATAAAAGTCATGTTTGTTCTGTACAGCACAGTCTATCACAAACTTTCCCCTTCTCATCTTGCCATTTTACACTTGCGAGGTAGTTTCTGCTATTAAGCAAAGACCAGTTTGTGGAGAAGTGACTCTAAAGGAATTCAATCACGACACCCCCATTGTAATTTAGATTCAGGAGTCTATGCATTTCTGCAAACCTCATACTGCAGTAGGTTAGATGTTAAAACCCTTTTGATCTGATCTTCTCGCATCTCCCAACAACTTGCTCCCAGCTACCAGCATAACATAGTCACATTAAACAAAACTAAAACCCAAGCAGCATATAAGCCCCACTTCTATACAGCTCTCACATAGTTTAGTCATTAAGACAATGAAGAGCATGTATAGCACAGACTGCCTAAAATGATTCTGATGTAGAATTTCTCTCCGTAAGCAGCCATCAAAACTCCGAGTTTCTGGTCCATAGACCAGAAAAAGTTACAATATAATGAACAAGTATATTCATTCTTTAAAGCTTCTACTCATTCTTTAAAGCTTCTGCTACTCAGGAATGCTGATTAGTACCTCATGCATTATCTATTAGTTTTTAGCAATCTCCTGAGCAACAAGCAGCAAAACAGTGAACAGATTACATTTTCTTAAATCTTAGATAGAGTATATCATTTACCCATTTTATAATATGACAGTTAGCAAAGAATATAAGTTTAAGTTTTTGTGTGGAAAAACTGTTACAGCTGTTCCAGATGTTACACTAAAATTTTTGGATTATTATGGATAGTGATAATGTCCCCAAGAGCCAAGAAGCGAGTAACATGTTTTTTTCTTTAGTAATTACAAACCTTCATCCTTCAGCTGGTCAGCCTTTTCAATATCCTCTGGTAAAGAATCTGAGAGAGGCAGCATGTCATTCTGTGTATTTAAAAAAAAAAAGAAAAAGTTGGGAGGGAGTCATTCAAATATATGGCCTTATTATATTAAAAAACTTCTTTCATCCTGCAAGGAATTGTTAGGCCATTATATAAACCATCACGTAAAGTAAGCATGAAAGACTAGCATATTCTTAAAAGAGAAAGAGAGCATTCTTTCCACTACTAAAGAAACTTATAGCTCATCATATGTTTTAAGCAATCCAAGGGGAAGAGAGAAATGATTTGTTTCTGCAGTGTTGGTTTTCTTACTTTTTGTTCTTTTCTTTGCTGTCTTGTGATTCCTGTGCTTCCTCTACTGGGCACTCCTATATAATGTAATTTTTTAGTCTGCATTTTAAAAAAACACATTTTAAGATTAGGGTTCATGACTCCTTTTTAAAAATGAAATGACTCAGCAATTTCCACATGGGAATCATGAGCATCAGAAAACTGTGAATGACCTCAAGCACTTTCCAGAATTGTCCCAGTTACCTTGGGAATGGCAAAATGTTCAACTGTAACTGAGGGATAAAATTCTTCAAGTGAGAATGAGACATCCACTGTTCAGCAATATTCTATATGGAATTGTCCTTGCCTGACTGAAATTAATTCCTCCCACCATCTCAGAAAATTCTCATTCTGCTAGCTTCCATGGTAATTTCACTTTTTTCCATATTTTCCTAAAGTTTCCACAATTTTGACCTACATAGCACTTCAAGGCTGTGCATACAATATGAAATCTTATCACATATTGGCAGAATAAGTCTAGAATCTAAATTCAATGCTTACCTTGTGAAAAGAGTTTGCGAACATCTCTATCAAATGCTGCGGAGGTGCAAGATGAGTATCTTCCAGGCTAATCTTAAAAACAGTCTCTAGGCATTGGATTGCGACTTGCCAAAGAGGAGGGGGAAAAGGAGAAAAAAAAAAAAAAAAAAAAAAACTCAGTCACCTGTTTTTCAATAGCAGTGTAATTTCATTAATTTATTTATAAAGCTGTGATTCACTTCCGTAGTGAGCTAGTAAGAGCAGCTCTTTGGAACACACATCCTGAAATAAGCAGAAGCTACCTGACCCCCCATAGAGCTGATTTGCTAGATAAGAGCATAAGCTATACAAAATCTATACATAGCATCTTGAATCTGTTAAAAGACATTTCAATTTTCTCAGTCATTTGATTTGTCCATTTTATTATAAAAAATATGAGTATGAGTACATAAAAACCATCACCATATACAATTTCACATGTGCCACACACTCCACCTGCAAAAACCACAGCCAATCTGCAAGTCATTTGTCACAAAACGGCTCATCTTTAATGTAGGGAATAAGTGCAAATTATTACACACAAGTACTTACTCTTTTTCCCTTTTTCAAAATAAAATATATTAATTTGGAGCCATTTTTATTAACAAAATGGTTCATCAATCACAAGCCTCTATAGTACAAAAATATACTTGGAGTATCCTCTTGCATGTTGTGTTGTTAAAGGATTAAGTGGCCCTCCCAGACCATTCACTACTTCTCTTAAATAAGCACATCTGAAAAAAAGTGGACCCAAATGTCCAAGAGAAGTTTTAACTGCCATTTGTCAACTTTTATGTAAAAATATGTGAGCATATCTATTATATTTATATATATAAACATATATTGTTAATTCTAATATCTTAAGATTTTAGGAAAAATGCTATTCTAATGGGAGAATCTAGAGGCATATTTTTATTAAGGGGTATCACCTAAACTGAAAACTGTGAAGTAGCGCAGAAGACTCTTTAGAAAGCCCAGCTTGCATTCAGAAAAATCAATTTTATGTTACATTTTATTTCACAGATGAAGTTTTTAATCTGAAATAGAGATAACCTGGACTAGGAATCCTGAATTCAAATTAGGTATCATTAAAAACTGTATGTTGAATTTTAGTTTGAATTATATATAATTTGAATATTTATTTGCATTATAATAAACCTGAATGCTGACCCAAAATTAGAAATATAAGATTTTTGAGAGTTAACAAAAACTCAAATATCAGGGGCTTGTTTTCTTTGGAAAGGCAAAAATAAGTGCATTTTCAAAATAAATAGCAAAACCTAGATGATTTTTTTTTAAAATCTTTGATTGCATACAATAGAAAGAATATAGAAAAAGACCAGTATGAAACAGATTTTCTGTCTACGTATAATTTGCTCCTATGATCTACAGGTTTAAAAATTTATCATTTTGCCAGGCTCTAAATTACTGAGTTAAGAACACTGACAGACCTGGGTCAAAGTCTTTTGCCTCTTGGCTCTAAACTGATATATAGGAAAATTTAATTATAGTAAAGTAAGCATTGATTATTTTGAATTATGAAATATACATTAATAGTACTTCTTCATAGTACTTCTATCATAAAGTCACTGAAATTGGATACCTCCTTTTTCCTTCGAAGGCTTAAGAAGGAAGGCAGTGCCTATCATATATCTACCAATCATTCCCTCAAACTTATTTTCACCTGGAGATATTTGCTTTCCTGAATGCCTCACCTCATCTTAAGTTTTGTATACATTTAAAATATATCCTCATCCTTTTTCTCTTTCAAGGCATTAAATCTGTGGCACCAACTCTTTATCATTAAGGAGATTTTCGCAAAGTGCAATTGTGATTAAATTTTGCTTCAACAAAGTAATCCTGAATATATCATTACTACTGCTAGACATTTCCATGAAATAATTAAAGTGAACTCCTACTTTTCTCCTTTAACTGAAAAATAGAACACTGACTCCTTATAGCTCATCACACATATAATAAAACTTAGAGCCCTTATGGGGTAAATCAGTAGCTTGGAACTATTATAGCCCAGTAATGACTGGCTAACATGCACGTAAAAATAAAAACATGGCCAAAGCTCAATCTTTTTCAAACTACATGCTACAGATTGTTAAAAAGATCCGTAGCTACCCTGTTTTCATGTATTGCAGTAAAACTATGGCCCATGGAAGTTAGTGAAGATTTGTCTTTGTCTGCCAGCCATGTCATCTTGCTTCACCTTACACATAAAATTTCCCCAACACCAGAACCACCTGCATCCCTTGTCTGAAAGGTACGTCCCACTGTTCTGGAAATACTGCCTTAGGGAAATTCTTATCAGTACCTAGAAAGAATCACACCCCTGTGCAGTTTGTGAGGAGTTTCTTCTTTGATTGTGAAGCAATAGGTACCATACACATAAAAAAAACATGAGTTGTAAAAAGGGAAGGGAAACAACTGCCATTTAAATAGACTGCCTGAAATTTAAGGCATGAAACTAAATGTAGCATGAAAGTAAACTTGCTAATTTGTACAAAAGGGTTGAAAATGAACTACCAGAGAACTATATGTCTATCCTAGAGCCTGGATTGTAGGAGAATATATTACTTCTCCAGCCTGCCTTGTGGTTAACTCTGCTTTCTCAAATTAATGTATTTTTGCTCAGCATGCAAGTACAATAACACTCCTAGAAGAAATTTAGCCCATGATTGACATCATCTTATACATCAAAAATGCAGGTTATCAATATAAATAAGGTTCAAATGCATCACAGACTTCAATTTTGATAGCGTCTCAATTTGTAATGTTCTAGGGGTTTGTTCATGTTTCTTGGGGAACTGTATCAATTTAAATTACCTCTCGGCAGAGATATTCAATCATACAGTGTTTTATCCTTTCACAAAAATCAAGATGAAAATAACACCAGTCAAATTCTTTTATCCTATGTATCTCCATCTGGCACTGACCACTTCAATGAGTGGGATTTGAACTATGGTTATTCAACATGCTGTAAAGATACTTTGCAGAGCTAAAATGAGTCAATTATTTCAAATGCTTGCTTCTGATCCTCTAACACAGAGCATATGGTACCAAGTTTTTGGCAGGATGAAGCTCTAAATTTAGGAATTTGTATCTGTATTAAAATGCTAAATTTTACATCACTATTTAAGCACACTTTCTGGTCAGAAATTTGTTGATTTTGTCTTTAAATTATAGGTTCTTTTGTACAATCATTGGCTAAAGCTGTTCTGAGACAAGTAATTAGCTAACATCACAACCCATCAACGTTTATCAGTTTTATAAAAGCAAAAGGAATATACTTCATCTTTCATTTGATTTGTAAAAACACTGCTGTTTTTCATCATCTGAGCAGAAACATCATCAAATACTGATATAGGTTAAATTCATAACTGACTGTCACTTTTCATATGTACAAATATTCCAGATTGTGATGTAAAACTAAATCTGTGCAATTTCCTTTGAACAGCATCCCACACGTGCTTCTTTCTTGCTTACATTAGAGAACAACTGCACTGTAAAACCAATAGACACTGGAAAGAAGATGATTTTGGTTTTATCTTTTAATGCGTATACTTCAGAGCAGCAGGACTTGCTGCTTTGCTTCTGGAAGATCCACTCTCCATTCTTCACATTTCACATAACTCAGTGGTCACCTGCCTGCATATTGTTTATTGCACTACTGGTCCTAGGCTTTAACTTCCAATCCCTCCCGCTGTGAGGCCAAACAACCAAAGGCTACTTCCTTGAAACAGTGCACAATCTTTCAAACATTTGATATGAAAGTCAATTTTGAAATTAGGAATCTTTGTTTCCTTCTTTTGCTTAATTCCACATTGTGATTATGAGTCCCCAAGAAGTCTCTAGGAACCAGGGAAATCGGCATTACAAAATTACACAGGTTGATGAAAGAGTGTCTTCACCCATTCTGTTGGCACAAGAATAGACACAGAAGTCTCTCTTTCTGTGGCTATATCTTCCACCATACCGTGCTGAAAATATTCACTATTTTGCCCCTTTGCAATCAATATTCATTTGAAAAAATGCTGCAAGGTATTTATTTTTCTTATTCTAACAGTCTCTTAGCTTCCCCTCATGAATTACACTGAATTCTTGTAAGTATAAAACAGGAGTTTTTCCAATGTTTTAATATCTGCATACAGTTGTTTATTTTTTACTGTTTCCCTCTTCTCCTTGGCCAACATTGCTGTTGACAGGAAGGGTCTTCTGTGTTTTGTTCACAGATGCCAAAACATAAAAAGGCAGAAAGAAACCAAACATAAAAGTAAAACGAAACAAGAATCATCTGGCAAAAAAAACGGGGGAGATATATCTGAATCATTTTCATAGTTTATATTTTTGGCATTTCCTACCTTTATGTGATACCTGTTGCTCGGAAATAAGGTTGTACAAATTTTACAGCTGCCTAATATTTTTAAGAGAGAGAGAAGTTTCAGACTTTATATATGATCTCAGAAATAGAAATATCTTGATCATATTCACAGATAACATTTGGGGGTAGTTCCAACCATTCCAGTTTCTTTCTTTCAGGGCATGTAACACGTTTTAATGTCTATATGTATAGCGCCGACACATCTATGTATTACCACCTTTACCACCTACCTTCCAAGCTCTCCTGTTCATCCGGAGTGAAAGTATCCATCTGACTCTGCTCTCTCAAGAAATGGATGACAGCATAAACCAAATGTTTGACGGATGACATTTTGAAACGGATGAATTTCACCCCTGTCTTAAAAAGAATTAGATCTATTATTAAAGAGGAGGAAAAGCTTTAGAACACGACAGAACACGTGTTTGGGCCCAGGTCTGGATTTCTAGCGTATTCCGGCCTCCCACTGACCTCACTTAGAAGTGCCCACAACGCAATGAAACGCCCTCCACCAATAAAGCAACACTTCAGAGCAGCCATTACCTTTGATGGGTTTCAGGGAACTCCTGGGATGTCCTACTTTAAATGTCAGCAAAAGAGCACAGATTTGCTCAGATTTTCAGCGAGAGTTCCCCAAGCACCATTGAAGCCGTTCACTTCGCTGGAAGACACGGCTTCGCTTTTACCGGGCAGACAAGCGCGCTGGGGAGCAGGGGCACCTGTTTGTGCCAAAGCCAGGTGAGGAGCTGCCAGCCGCTCCGAGTACGCGGCTCAGAGGCTGCCCTGTCTTTGGCCCGCGCGCTCCGGGCGCAGAACTGGAGCGTGGCGACCTCGGCGCGCACTTGTCGCCAGCCGCACGCTCCCGCCGCACTCAGCATCAGCTGGCAGTTACATAACTTCGGGGGATACGTCGACCCCCCAACTTTCACTCCTACTCTCCCTCCAGCCGCTCCGACTCGTTTATTTTTATTTTATTTCCAGCAGCGGCCAGTACCCAGCCGGGGGGCGAGGCGGGCGACGCGGACGGGTCTCCCAGCCCCGCTTCCCCCACGCCGAGCAGCGGCGGCCGCGGCGCCCGCAGCCACGGCCGGCGGAAGCGGCGCGGCCGCCCCGGCCCGCCCGGTGATGCCCTGAGCCCTGCGGCGAGCCCCCAATCCCCGCCGCCATCCCCACGGACCCCTCCCTTACCGCGCGAGAGGGGCGAGCGCCGCGGGCAGCGCCGGAGCGGAGCGGAGCGGAGAGGCGGCCGGGCGGGCAGGGGGCGGGCGAGGCGGGAAGGGCGGGCGGCGGCGGCGGAAGGGGAGGCGCCGCGCGGTGGCGGCTGCCCTCTCCGCGGGTCCGGTAGCGGCGGTAACGGCAGTAACGGCCGTAACGGCGGCCCCGTCTCGTCCTGCTGCGCCCCGCCCCGGCCCCGCGGCCCTCCCCTCGCGCCGCCCTCCCCATGCTGGCGCTGTGCGCGGCTCGCAGGTAGGCGCCGCGCCGCNACGGGCGCGCGGCCTGGCGGGCGGGGCGCGGCGCCTCCCCCCGCAGCGGCGGGAGGCAAGACCGCCCGGGAAACAATAGAGCGAGGCTGGGGATAGATATATTCATACATTTATAAATATATAATGTACACATGTGTGTTTCTGTTATATATAAAATGTATATAAGAGCGTGGGTGTTTAGGCACGGCGCACGTGAGGCGAGGCGGGGCTCGTCTTCGGTAGCGCCGCGCCGAGAAACGCGCTCGGACACCACGGGAGGGGCGAGGCGAGCGCAGAGCCGCCCGCCAGGCGCTCGGTGGGACCTTAGGAGCAGGGTGGGCCTCCCTGTCGCGGGTGTGGGATGTGAGCAGGCCCACGAGGTGATACGAAGAGCTGGGTGGATCTTCCATCACAGGTGCTGGCCGTGAATAGGCCCGTGAGGCCATGGGAAGAGTGGGGTGGGTCTCCCCGTCAAAGATGCTGGCTGTGAAGGGGCCTGTGAGATGATGTGAGGAGCAAAGTGGTTCTCCCTGTGGTGGGTGTTGGCTGAGAAGGGGCCTGTGGGGCCACACTGTGAGGGAAAACGGGTCCCTGTTGTGGGTGAGGTGGCAAGCGAGAGGTTCCCTCCATTAGGCCCAAGGTAAATGACCATCTGAAGGATGCGGAGACCTGTGGAAATGTAGTCGCTCGCTTTCTGTTCCTCGGTGCTTTTGTTAAGTACGGGTTTGAGTTTTTCCGCTGCTCCTTTGTTGTGAATAGGTCTGAGAATGATTGCTGCGGCTTGTTAATTTGTAATTCTTCTGACAGTTTTCATTTAGGTATACTCAAATAATTGTGTGAGAATTGTTTCATGCACTCGCACACAAAAATGGTTATTTCTAATGCCAGATAGCAGCCTAATCACTTGCAAGAGTTAAACGGGCGAACATGGAAATGATGCGTTCTCTTTTCTCCCCATGGCATCTTAAAGTGAAGCAGTTTTCAAACTGTCACTTCAAAATGACAATTTTCAGCATATTTCAAGCAGCTTGTCTTACATTGAATAAAACATTTAAGACTTTTGTTGTTGTTGTCAAAATAGGCAGATTTGGGGAAAGAGGTTATTTCCAGTTAAATACCCTTCCTATTAGAATTAAAAATATTCAGGGAATTAAAAATATATCAATCAAATACATGGGGGAGAAGTAAGCTAAAATGTGTATTAATTAAATTAGCAGTCTAATTATAATAGACTTTATTTTTAAGGATATTCTCAATAATGGAAAAGAATATGACAAAAAATAGTCACCAAAACAATTTTGGTGTCCTAAAATACTTTTCTAGGATTCAAGAATTATGGAATGTTTCTTTTAAATCGTTTTTTTAGTAAAAAATAAATATATATGAACTCTGGAAAATTAGAGTTTAGATTCAAGAGCTATAAAGTTTCTCAGTCTGAAAGGCACTCAGAGCACTGCTTGACTTTTCTCAGAATGGAGAGTAAACCAGCAAGAAACAGGGAGGCATGGAGAGTGAAGAAATAAGGGGAGAGCTTTTATAGTTGCATTCCACAGGATCTGGGGACTTCTCAGAACAAAGGCAATTGTTGGATATGTTTTTTTTTTTCTTGCAGTTTGTTCAGTAATGCCAGTATTGAACCTGTAGCCCAATATTGTATTTGATCTTTTCATGAGTCTTATGTTAGAAGAAACAGGGAAAAAAATGATCCCTGTTTACCTTCTCTGTGATGTTATTTTATAGATTTCTTAAATACTTGTTGTTTGGTTTGTCCATGATGAAGAATCCTGGTCTAATTGTTATCTGAATATAATGTATTCCTTGCTTCAGCTGATCATCATCACCACGGAAGAAGAGAAGCTTTGGGGCAGGTGGGAGAAGAGCAGACAAGAGAGTTCCTATGTGCTGGAGGCGTGGGACTGCAGAGTGCTCTGTGTGAGCATGTCTCACTTATTTTGGAGTGCTATAATTAATATTTCTGTTTTGTTCTCTGTTCCCCATCTCATACGTATCATTTGCCCCTTTTCAGCTGCCTTTAGCCTGATGATTTTGTGGAGCAGTTTTAAGTCCAGAATCTCTTTCCCAATCATGAGGATAATTGAGCTCGTTATTGTTATTTCACAATTGTTACTTTACATTTATTAAGATAGAAATTCATTTTTAGTTATTTTAGTGTTTACTCAGTTTTGTGAGATCCTGCGTTTATCATCAGTAGATTTTTGTCACTTCATTCATCCTACCTTTTTCTAGATGCACTGTAAGTATGTTAAAGACTAAAGAAAGGCAAGGAATCCTGTGGGGTTTTGCTAGTCACCTGCTTCCATTCAAAAAAACGAAGAGCTATCTCCCTGTGTGTTTCCTATCTTTCAATCTTCAGTCCTTTATCCACAAGATAAATGTCTCACAGGAGCTTGATTTCTTCAGGAGATTTTGGTCAAAAGTCTTTAGGAATCCAATAGGCAGCATTAACAAGTCTCTGTCTATTGGGACTCCTTCAAAGAATTTGGGTGGATTTTTGAGTCGTGACCCCCCTCAGGGGAAGAGGCTCATTTCCAGCACATGATGTTTGTGTTTAGAAGAGTTAAGGCTAGGGAGAATAAATTTTTTCCTTCCGGGTGAAGGATGATTTGGTGGAGTGCTTTCCTTGTACTGTCTAAGGAAGTTCCATCTTTACTACAGACACCTACTATGTCTTCTCTGCAGTGTCACTTCATTGAAGTTTTTACCTGCAATTTTCATGCTGAAATAATCTTCTAGATGGCCTGGAACTAGCCTGGAACTAGCCTGGGAAATATTTAATGTTGTTGTTAAATAGCAAAGCAAACTGAAGCAAAAACAGGCTTCATTTGCTTGAATGATTTGTATTGCCGGGCAGATGCACAGTAGTATTGAGGGCTGGTAGTAATTTGCAAGTATTGAAATGATTGTGGCCCAGTGTAATTCACTGTCTTCCCGGAGGAGAGCAGTCCCTTAAAAAGGTGAAGTGAGAGAGATGAGGTCCCTGTGTGCTGTGAAGGCACAGGGTTTTCCAAGCAACTAGTGCTGGCAAAAAGCGTCACTCTTCATTTTAACTGTATGAGACTTAGCATCAATAGGAAGTCAAAGGGCGTTCCCATGTTATAAGCTGAATTGATTCACTGTGGCTGTAAATCAGAAAAATTCTCAGTGTTTGCAGACTGTAGTTCTGCAACATCACTTTTTTTTTTTTCTTACCCGGGGTCAGCCAGCATTTGTGCATTAGCTGATTGCATTCAAGTACTGGGATATCTAAGTGGTAACAGTGCATGGGGCTTGCACCATGTAATAAACACTTTACCTCTTGTTTATGTTGTTGGCATGAAATTCATAGATGTTTATTTGCAGCAACACCTGAGAGCTGTAGGGCCTTAAAAGTAATGTGTGTGTGTGTATATATATATATATATATATATTTCTTTTCCCCTGTTCACGAGGTGGGGTTTAAAGCGCAACTGCTTAGTCCTAGGGAGCTCTCATGTTAGAGCTGTGGGCACCGTGGTTTCAGGAGTGGGGATGGAGGGCATCAGACACTGCAGAAGCAGTGCTGTGACTCCTGCCAGCAGTCAGCCCGGGCTGCTGCGTGGAAATCGTCTCCTATGAAAGTCAGTCAGACCAGTTTGCAAATTACTTCTGTTTAAAGACTATCAGGGAAGGAAAAAGAAAACGTTTAACTACAGTAGAAAAGTGCCTAGAGATTTGTGCCATATGTCACATGTATGTACAGGTTCCCACCTAAAATCGATTACTTTGCTGTTACTGGTGTTAATTTTGTTAGAAATCAGTAAACATTGTTGCCAGATAACATCATAACATCTTCATAAAAGTAGTGCAGCTGGGGTTATATTTATCAATAAAGATGTTAAAATGTTGCTATAACTTACAGCTTTTCTGACTAGCTCAAACTGATTATAAGAAGTAAAACTATCTGTTGTAGAAATCCAATCAATGTAGAGCTTGCAGTGAACTGAGATGCATGGAATTGACAAAATTATTGATTTAGTGCTAAAAGGTGCTACATTTTCTTTATTTCCTCAAATGCAGCTTCAGGAAAAAAAGTTTCTAAAGGCAGTTGGAGAATTTTTGAATTAAGAAGTACTAAACATGCTATTCTTCAGTTAAAAGGATAGTGAGAGCTGTCTGTGCCAAAAG